GGTGGTTGCACAGTAGGAAAAACTGCAAAAAGAACAGTACACAGTTTCTCAAAATACTCCCGCATTCAAAATGCCCACAGGAGATTACACTTCAAGGCTACCATGAAATACCAAGTACTGCTCCAACTTGCATCATTCCAATAGTTTTACATTGGTAATATTTCCGGATGGTGATAGGCAAACTCACTTCTGCAGAGAGAGACCAGTCCTGATCTAGTGCACTGTGACCTTTCTCCGCCCTTGACCTCTGGGTTGTTGGGCCGCTCCGCGTGTGGGGGACAAACCTCCCAGAGGAAGGATACTCAGGGTAAGTATGAGAATCTACCCGGAGATCACTCAACGACGGGGTGCTCAACCTTTCACTGATCTCAGAGTGAGCCTTCTCAGGTTCCAAACTGAAATGTCAGAAAGAATCCAGATACACACCTTGTATCCTTGACACAGCTACAAAAATCATGAAACAAGCATTATGACACAACTGAGATTTTGACGAGATCTCAAGGAATAAAAGGCTAAAATCAGTCCCAAAAAATTTAGCCCTGGTCTCTTTGTTTTCCTTAAATTATGACATTGAAAAAAAATTCAAATTCAAGGTGTACGTCAAATTACCTAATTTCTCTAACTGCAGTTCCCAGTTACTAGGAGTCCCCCAACAACGCTGTAAAACAGTCTTCAGAACGCTTCTCTCAAAATGCCTTACAGAGATAACACATACACCAGCACTAGTAATAAATGTTAACGCTGCCAAATTTGTATTGTCAATACTGCATTGGATTTAATAATGATAATAAACTGCATTTTTATAGCGCATATCCTCGCTTAAAAACAAGCTCTATGTACTTTACACTATATTATTACTCTAGCAAACCCTAGAACACTCTTAAACATTCTCGGCTTCTCCAGAAGCATACAGTGCTAGGAGCTGATTAAGTTCTCAAACACTAACAAACTGCCAAAATCTTCCGCTATCTATAGCCAGGTACCCATTCCCACTTAGATAAAGTGAGGAAAACTCACGAACAGTGCCTTTCCTAAGGACACGCTGTCAGGCCCCTGACAGGATTCAAACCCATGTCCTTATGTTGTGGTTGAGAGTCAAAGAGTGTAACCACTTGGCCACCACCAGTTTTCTTTAATACCCTGACCAAACCCGCAGTAGTCTTTCACAAGGACACAGCATTCCGCCCTCTGCCTACACATACCCATCATGAAGCTCTGAGAACAGTCCAGCACGCTTTAATGAATCCACAAGAAAAGATGGCCTCTTTGGGGGAAGTCGTGATTTGGGTTTCTCTGTCAAACTGAGAAATAGAAATCAATGATAAAATTTCTGTCAGCTCCATCTTATACTTTTGATCAGAATGAAGAAAATGTGGATAGCATTTAAACAAAAGCAGGTCATCATGGCTGGTCATAAGGAGAAAAAAGCAATAAGTAGGGCTTCTTGATAAATTATGAGACACATATTTGTTACCAAAATTAAAACAAAGTATTCAAATGAAATGATGATCATGCACATTTACAAAAAAATTGCAACAACCAAACAGTTGCCAGAGGGATGAGTATGAAAAATTACCTAGTAGACCCTCAAGTAACTCAGTTCAGTCATTTTCAATGAGGGCCACAAAAGAAATTATATATTACATTCAAATATTGTGACATTTGAATTATGTGCTACGTTTAATTATTGTGATATTTAAATTATACATTACGTTCAAACATGGTAACATTCACAACAAAGATTTGATAATTCCCACTAAGATCACATGGCAAAAACAAGGAGGTAAACAGCGAGGACAGATTGAAGAGGGTAAAGAAATTAAAGTGACCCTAGTTTTGTTCCATTTCTTTTCCCGTCTCCAATAAATAAAAGCACACATACTACATCAAAATCAAAATCCCAAAACATTCCTTCTATTCTACATTCAAAGTCAGAACAGAAATCTAAATTTCAATGTCAACTTCCAATTTAACTTTCAGTGACTTCAGCCCAACTTGTGAGAGGCTGCATGAGAGGCAGTCGTTCCCCTACCTGGCAAATGTGTCGGGTTGGTGGGGTCTTGCAGGGGATACAGTAGCCAGAGGTTTGGGCTGTACCGCTCTCGGAGCAGGCGTGCGGGGCAGGCCGGGGTACGTCTGGTGAGTCACCGGGAAAATTGACGGGATGGCCTCTAACCTTACAGTTGAGGTCAAGGTCAAAGTCTTGTCTCGCTTCACCTTGTCTCCCCTGGATGCCGCTCGTCTCCGAGCCCAGAGCTTCCAGTGGACAGCACATCTTTGTACCAAGTGAAAACTCTCGAAGGCTGAGCTCGCCTGGTGTCGTGCAGCCATGACAGACCGCATGTGGGACAGGCTGTCCGCTGTGGCAAGCCACTGACCACAAGCGTTACGAAGGAGCTGCTGGCGCCACAGTGAAGCTGCTTCAGTGAGTCGAGCCTTCTTGTGCCTACGTCGCTCCACATATGACCACCAGCCAACTAACACCTGGGTAGGTAATCAAACTTTTATAAAAGTCAGGAGAATACAGAAAGAAGAAAAACGTATCTTGCCTCCACAATAGAAATGAAAACAAATTATTTGCTATTACATATATGCATTCAAACCTCACTAAGTTGTTCTCTAAAGGCCTTCAACTATTTCAAACCAGGAAAGTTTTTAAAACACGAATGAAAACAACAATTACACAAAATTACTTGAGATACTATCATCCCATTATTTTGTCTGACAAATAGAGTTAAAACAATCCTGTATCACTTTGTTCAATTCTTAACAAGTATACAACATATATATGACCCATCATGGTGAAATCAGGCGCTCGTCAAAATAATGAAATCGAAGAAATCGGCATTTTTTGGCAGTTTGGAATTTTTTTCAAATTTTTGCTTTTTGGCTTAACACCTTGTATGTCCATTCCAAAATATTTTTATGTATGGATTTTAAGGAAAAAACGTTGATTAATTGTAAATTAAAAGTAAATTCGCAGCTTCCAAGGACTCTTGAGCTATGGAAGTCACAAAACTTTGGCGGCCATTTTCTCCCCAATTTTATTTCTGAAACCAAGTGACCACCTTCTTCAATCGCAAATATCTCGAATTCTATTCAAGATAAATGGACATTTTCAAAAAATGAAATGCAAGGCAAATGAACAACTTTTAAAATGATACCAATAACTGAACATACCAAAAAACTAACGAGCGCCTGATTCCAGCGTATTGTGACACATATTAAGATTAAACAATGCACAGTAAGTGCTCGAAAATCACAAAGCAGGACCAAGTCTGATGAGGAAATCTCAAACAGTCTACACACAAACAAACCTCTCTGATATTTCCTATCAAAAGATTTGTAAACTGATCTTTGCTTTCTGTTTTTATACTTCTCATTGAATAAGTTCAGTAGTTGAAATAAGACACAGAAAACAAACTCATTCCATAGCTCAAAATATTTGACTTCAATTGTGTAAACTTGTGGTGATGACTACAAGGAAGGATGCAAAGATGCCTCTAAGGATTAAAACACTTACACATTCAGAAACATTTGTCAGACAAAACTGTGTGAAGAATTATGTTTGTTGCATTTTTGCCCTCACGACCACTGTGCTAAAAATCTGTCCCTAAGCTGACAGTCAGAACTTTGAAGAAAAATGCCCACAGGGTAAATGTGTCTCCTTATAAAAAAATAGAGCAGAAAATAGGAGAACAACTTACCTTCCGCTGGAGAACTAAACTCCAGTGCCACAACGCCAGCTGTGAGTCATTGTTCTCTTCCTGTTGTTCTTGTAGTCGATGTCGCCAAACTAAGAAACTCTTGGCAGTCACTCGGACATCATGGAACCATTGGCTCTGGCGGCCAATTAACTGAGGATAGAAGGAAACAGTTGAACTATCAGAGAGACATTGTAAAGCACAGTTGGCCAAAAGAGAAAGAGCATAACTACTCACTTTGTGAAAAAGAGTTCTAAAAAACTAAAACAACATACACACTGTTACAGTGTTTCTGTTGTTTCAGAAAAATGTGGGCTTTATTAAATAAATAATCCAAACATCTCTCTGGTGATTATGCTATTACACATTGGCACTTAACTTCATTTCTGCCTTTCAAAATGTAGAAAAGATTTTTTTTTAAGCCAATCATTTTTAAGGGGTAAAATTTCTAAAATCACTGAGTTGTGACCCTTCCCTTCCAAAAATACCAAAAGAAAAACAAGAAACCCACCCCCATCCCCAAAAAATTACCTAGTCAAATAAATAAACTAAAATCTGAAACATGAAGAAAGAAATATTTTATACCCTCTTCCTCAAGCACAATTTCGAATAATCATTCCAGGCAGTCCACACTTTGCAGGCAATCTTCTGCTGGTAGAATTCATCAGCCCTCTTTATACTGCTTGCTTCTTTGGAAGCTCTCTCCTTCTCTCTGAGCCATCGTTTCCAATACAGAGACAGTTTCACTGTAGAGTATTAAAGTGTAAGAGCTAAAAGACCACAGTCAAGGAATGGAAAGGGTCTTCGGTTTGTTTGTTTGTTTTGGGAGGCGAGGATTTGATTTTTACTTCATCTCTTTACAAAAACTGAATCTATAAAAGAAGAAAAGAACTTGAAAACAAAACTCTCTGTTTGCTCTTTTTATCCTTCTAGCTATATTTACTTATAAATATAACGTCAATGGTCATACTTGCCTTAATCTTGTACAAGATTATTAAAAAAGAATAGTACTACTAGGTCACATTAATGAGATCTAATAATTATTTACAAAAATACTATCAGCAGGCTGAATGAGACAAAAAAAGTTCACAAAAAATTTTAGAAAGGAAAAACCGTAGATACAAATCTGAAACACTTTCTATTTAATATTATATCTGTTGGAAGAAAGAAGCAAATAAAATAAATAGGAAATCTCATGACCCCTCTCTCACAGTGTTGTAGTTGGCCAATGCTTTCCTGAAGCAGTCGTTGCTGCTGATCTCCCCTGTAAGCCTGAAGGGCAGCAGTTCGTTGCCAGGCCTGGACAACCTGCAAAAGAGCCGGTAACAAGATAAAAATGACATTTGACTTAAAACTAGGAGATCAATAAGTTTATCAATTTTCAAGCAGCACTGAAGGTGGTGCTCTTTTCAGTATGTGTGTGTGTGGGGTGGGGGGGGGGTTCATTCATGTACCCATTGCAAAATCTTTGCAACTGCAAGGAAGTCGAATATAAGCACAGGTGAGGATAAAGCGAGAGCTGTGAAGCACACACAACAATTTGGTTGAAAACACGTTTTAAGTATTTCGGTGAGGCACATAACAACAGTCCCAACTTTCCACATTTGGCATTTGTGGTTGTGAAGTGTAAAGAGACACATTTGCCCTGTGACCATTTTTCTTCAAAGCTTTCACTACCAACTTGGGGATGGACATTTTTGACACAGCAGTCCTTGCAGTTGTTTTATTTTGTAGTTAGCGATCCAGTAACATCTGAGTATTAACTCTTCTGCATGATGCCATTCTGTAATAGCTGCATGTCTGTTCTAATTGTTGTCTTGAGGAGTAGAGGCAGTGTGGGGTAGCTTGGGAAGAAAACATCCCCTCAAAGCGGTTGTGGGGGCAGAAATGCAACAAACAACTCTTCACAGTTTTGTCTGACTAACGTTTCTGAATTTGTAAGGGTTTTTGTTTTAGTGGAGGTTTTACAGAGCTCGCAACTGCATAAGGTCATATGAGCGCCAGAAGATTAGAGGTGTTACAAGAGAGTAATATAAATAAGAAGAAAGGGAGATAAAGACGATAGATGTTTCATAGGAAAGAAGGAGCAAACCACACCAGAGCACTCGCCAACCACCACCCCCGGTAAGGGTTTTAATCCTTAGAGGCATTTAAGTTCAATGCTTTTTTATTCTCTCCACGGTACTGACACAAGATTGACTCATAAAAAAAAAGAATGGCAGAAAAATGTAATAAACATGTATCCCCATAGGGCAGTTTAGTTTCCATGTAAATAGATAAAATATTACTTATTATACTGTATCAACACTACATAATACACCATACAACATTAATACAGACAGTCAACATGCCATTGTTGGTCGTCACCACACAGATTTTTGTTTTTCAGTTATGGTCATCATGTCTTCTCTAGAACACACTCCAGTGACCGCCAACCTAAACAGAGTGTTACCAACATATGCTTGATATTATTGTGAGCCTGACCTCAATGGCCACTCTGGCACTAATATAATGCAGTCACATTGAGGAGCAAATAAAAACACATACCCTGAGCATTAAGCATCTATTGTGGTGCACACTGGCAGCAATCTTCTTCCTTTTCACAACTCCAAGCTCACGTGCTGTTTCTCTCCATGCCGAAAACACTGACCTTAAAGGGTAGAAAAAATGTCAATCTCACCAAGGTTTTGGGACTTTTCAGTACAGTTTGAGCTGAATACCCCCCAAAAATGGACAGAATTTGCAAAATTGATTGGGAGTAATTTTTAATACGACGGAAGGTCCATATTTTAAGTCTCCTTCAGATAACTTGAACAAGCAAAACTCAAATTCACAGATAGATCGAACAGGATACTATTCCGCGACTGAACCACTACATTTTATTTGAATTGGTAGCACTGTATTATCAAACATTCACACGTATGTGTTTAACAGCTCATCTTGAAAAGCCTGATCAAATTTTTCCCACAACTGTCTTGAAATGAAATTGTCTTACGTACAAGATGGAAATTAAACAAACCCATCATCATCGAGAGGATCAGGTTACATGATCCCGCTAGGTTTGCCCATGTACAATATAATACACATACTGGTATTGAGATACATTTAAAATATATTAACTATATTCACATGAGGGTGACTGCAGGGTGATGGAGTGCGATTGGGTCATATGATGTGTGAATCATGCTTGTGTACATACAATATGTGTGTGCGGCTGTGTGAACGCAAAAGTATGGATCATGAAGTCATTACACAATAGGGGTGGGTGACACATTCTGACCACTGTTGGTTACACCGTCATGATCATGATCTTTTTAGTATTTGTAAGAGTTTTACGGCACTTGCAACACAATAAAGTCATATAAGTGCCTAAGATTAGAGGTGTTACAAGAGAGTAACAAACACAAAAAAGAAGGAGAGATCAGGATGATAGATGCTTGATAGGAAAGAAAGAGCAAACCGCACCAGAGAACCTGCCAACCACCCACGATCATGATCTGATGTTGGAGCAATTCTTTTTTTGCTGGGAGGGTCACCAGCATCACTTTCTTCCTTTCTTGCTGCGACACTGAACAAGGCGCACACTATCCATCCTTGTATCCTTTTATCAGTACCGTTACTTTTCATGACAGCAGAGGAGAAAAATCTTAATTGTCTGTCAGTAACTTCCCTCGACTTTCTTAAATACTCTTATTTTTTGCTATCTCGCTTTAATCAAATTACAGGGTTGTCGAATTTTTGTCACCCCTTTCCCCCCTCCCAATAATTATGAGGATCCATGCCAGAGAGTATTTGTATTTCTTTTCCTTATACATTCCTCATCAAAAACAAAAATAAAAAATATACAGATTTGAATTAACCAAGATGATTAATTCCACATTTCTCAACTTTTGTTTTCCTTTTGATGACAAAGACAATGGCTCAGTATCTTCACAAAGTCACATGACATTAATAAAACCTAAACCACATGAAACGCAACATACAGTTACACAGATACAAAACACATTCAAATATCACTCATACTGAATTCCAATCAATCACCTACTTTAATTGCCTTTGCTGGTGGTGAGAGAATCGTTCAGTAGCAACTTTCCGGAACTGTCTACCAGCAGCCACCTCAGACTTCCACTGCTTGATACATGCACGATATGTCTTCTGGTTCCTGTGCCTCACAGCCTTATCTGTCTGCTGTTTTTCTATCCTCAACAACTGAAGTTTCTAAAAGGAATTCAAAGACAGATTGCAAAATAGTGTAAGTTTCAAAACAGCACAAATCTCAAAAGAGCGCAAATTAGATTTTTTTAAGATAGATTATTAATTAAACAAACAACAGGAATAATAATGAAACATTTTCTCTAAAACTTACTTATAATCTAAATTTTGTAACACTGCACTTCAAAGGCGGATACATTGGCACCCACACAAGATACTAAACATTATGAGAAGTAGAGAACAGGAGAAAAGAATCTGAAGGAAAACATCAATAATTCTGAAATGTTTAAAATAAAATTCACTTTGACTTTAATCATAACTAAATTAATTGTAAAATAATAACAACTGTACAAAATGTTAACAATAACAGATAATAAATATAAATGAAAAAAAAATTCACTATTACTTCAGTTACTGAACAGTGAAATAATAAATGTATAAATATATATATATATATATATATATATATATATATATATATATATATATATATATATAATATTCATAAAACTTAACTATCAATTCATTCATAATGCAACTAACTGCATAAACTATGGAAATGTGGCATTGGTGGCCTGGTGGTTAGGCTACCAAACTTGTAATCGTGAGGTTGCAGGGTCAGGGGTTCGAGCCGCAGGCCCGACGTTGTGTCCTAGGGAAAGGCACTTTACACGAATTTTCCTCACTTCACCCAGGTGGGAATGGGTAGCCGGCCATAGACAGCTAAAGATCTTGTCAGTATGTTAGTGTTTTAGCGCCTATAAATGGCCGCTTGCACTGTATGCTTCCCAGGAAGTTGAGGTTGTTTCAGAATGCTCTCAGGTCTGATGGGATAATAGTATAGATTGTGAAGCACATAGAGCCTGCTATTGAGCGGGGATTTGCGCTATACAAATGCTATCTATCTATTATTTTTATTATTAAAGGCATCTCTTAGTATAAGATTTCATATCCACAGTTTTATTTATGCACCAGGTATGTGCCAGTCAAATTTTCACACATTTATTTGGCGTCTTTAATAAAAATGTAGGGATAACAGTCTCTCAACAGTACAATCGCAATACCTGTCTCCATCTCTGAAAGAAAACTTTCTCCATGACAAGGTGGTGGTGCTTGACAGCTTGCAAGCGGTTCATCTCACTGGCAAAGAGTAAAAAAAGATCAAAATCTAATTTCTAAAACAAAAAGTATTTACTGTAAAATTCTATCAACCATTCATCTGAGTAGCAATGAGTCCTTTGTAATTATAGCCATTTCTTTTTTCATCTCCTTACATAGATGTAAAGTCTCAGTATAAACTGTCATGGCATGTTAATATGTCAGCCCATACATATCCAAATTTAACAGGAAAATGTATGTACACACACACACACACACACACACACACACACACACACACACACACACACACACACACGCACACAAGCACACACACATATACATACACACACAAACATTTAAAAAACACACACACATACACACAAACACATATACATACACACACAAACACATAAAAACACACACATACACACAAACACATAATACACACACACATAAAAACATAAAAATATGCACGCACACACACACACACACACACACACACACACACAGAAAACAAACACGCACATGCACTCAATTTCAAACCAACCAACGCATGCACAAACCTGGTCTTTCTCTGCTGAACAAGCATTCTCCATGCAGTCCAAGCCCGGCAGCCGACAGACCAGACATAATGACACTCTGCCTGAGTCAGCTTGTCCGCCTCGTGCAGTGTCTCCGTCAGCTGCTGCCGCCACCTGGAGAAAAACGACTGCAGGAGGACAGACTCTCTGTGCAGCACAGCCTGAAATCAGAAAGTACAAAATGTGTAGAAACTCGACAAAATGAATTGACTTGATTCTAGCAAGAGCTTCACTGCACTTGCAAACCAAAAAGGTCACATAAGAGCCTGAGATTAGAGGTGTTATAAGAGAATAACAAACACAAAAAAAGAAAGAGGGAAGACAAGGACGATAGAGGTTTGATAAGAAAGAAGGAGCAAACCACACCAGAGCACCCGCCAACCACCCGCTAAAATGATTCACACGTCGTATCGGTGGAAATATGTGAAAAAGTATCCGTTTTTAACACCCACTATCAACATTATTAAGAGGCGGGAACTTCTGAGTTTAACATCCATCTCTGATAGGACTGAGACAATTTGGAAATTCATGTAAACTGCCTTACCCAAAGACACATGGTCAGACCAACCAGAGGCTTAAACCCTCGAACAGGCATTCTCACAAGTATGGGTCTGGTAGCCTAACCATTAAGCTACTGACGCCACTTACACAATGGCATAGCTGCCAACTTTTCAAAACCAAAAAAAGTAACCCCCTTTCAACCTTCACACACTCTTTACCAAATTCTATAAATTCAAGCTATTGAAAGCAGACCTGCAACCTGTCAGAAATTTTTGGTAACGGTCTCTTTAATTAACTTATGGGCTTCATTCTCATTGTTATTTATAATCCAGTCTTGAAAGTTAATCAATTTTTTTTCTCCAGCTTTTGGCAGTGATAAACACATTTTTGAAACATTCAGGAATCTGCCTGACATTTCGAAACAGCTGTGGGTGACAAGGGACTCATTTTGTCCTGATGTTTCAAATTTTTCATTTCTGATACTTAGCAGTGCAAAACTCACTGGACCCGAGCACACGCTGCCTTTACCTATCCACACAACAAACTCATGTCTCAGAGTGCTTTGATGCAAATCTATCTCATTTGTCCCCAGTGAGCTCAGGTGCATTCCCCTGTAGGCTCAGTCGACAAGGGCTTAAAAAAGCTGAGAAAGACATTACATGAACAAATATACTTACTGAAACGTACCATTTCTTGAATAGTATTTTAATGAGTGATATTAGTTGACTTTCAAGCATATCTTGTTTAAACATGTAAAAGGCAATCACTGATACCCTCTGAGACTACTGAACAAAGAATTTTAGTAGTCCAGCCCAGGTGAAAATACATTTTATCTGTAATGGCAGGGGCTAAAGTGACAACACACTCTAGGGGTTTATGGCTTTTGCAAAGAAAAGTGAGCATAAATGCCACAGACAAACACGTAACTAAGAAATTACAGCTTAAAAATTATTTCCAAGTTGGCAACGCACATTTCGCGACAAAACATGACACATCCATTTTTCCTCCAGTTTTGAGACAAATGAAGATTTCTGTTCTTCCACCATTTACTGAATAATCTTGAGCAACTTTGGTTTTAAAATAAACATGATGCAAGGCTTAGTTGATATTTGTTAACGTGAAACCTAGGTTGGATTCTTATCCTTTAACTTGATGAGATCTACACACATTTTTGACAGAATGCGACATATCACATCAATACTCTAAAGAACGGAAAGAACCACAAACAAACTTTCGGCGACCACAAGTGAAGTCATGTGACTCGAGGAAAGACCTTGATTGGCACGCAGAGGATATTTCGTGGTTTGTCAAAAAAGGTCTGCCTCTTTTGTCGCATTTTGCTAAAAAAAAAAAGCATAACTTTCAGCATTTCTTTAAAAAGGAAAAAATCGTCTTTTGTGAAAAAAAAGTTCACTGGAATTTGTCTCACCTCTCTAAATATAATGCTACTAGTTTCCGCCAAACTTTGAAAAATGACACAACAATCCATAAGAATATATGAGGTGCATACTGACCATTCTGTGCATCATGCGTGCATCTCGTTCCTGTTTTGCCCTGGATACCCAAGTGGAAAACACCCACTCCAGCTTGCTGCATCTGCAATATGCAAACACAGTGTATGTAAACTTTCAGGTTCAGTCTATGCTTTTTTAACTCAGTTTCTCTACTTGAAAAAAACAAAAATGGCTGCACATTTAAAGTTAAAGTAGCTTACATCCAAATATTTGGGATAACCTACTCTAGCAAGCAATCATCCACAGGTCCACATTAGAAAAAGTAGGCAACATAGAAAAAGAAGCTGACACAGAGAAAGTGGCTCCTTTAGAGAAACTGACTGGCAGACTGATGAAAAGTGTATTTGACCACACCACACAAAACATATCAGAATATGAGAGACGTTTATGTAGGAGAAGATCAAAGCTGACCTGTGGAACTCTTGTGCTTTCTGTGCATTCTCTCGGCATTTCCGCTCCAGCTCCACAAACATGTGCATGTGGAACAGACATCTTGGCATTGTCCTCAGGTAGTAGTGAGCCTCTGCCTGGTTGTGTTGGAGCTGTGAACACATAAAAATTCCAACAGACCTTAAAATTCTAGGTGAATGCCGAACTATGCTTTAAAAAAGTACGCCAAAGTGCGCTTTAAAAAGTTTCGCCAAAGTATATTTTTAAAAGTTTAAAAGCTTAGCTATACTTGTGTATCCCCTGAAAGTTCAAATAAAATCATAGCTAATACAAAATTTGGATAAAATTTTAAAATATTTTTTGAACAACAAATGCATATATGACTTGAGTTGATGGAAAGAATGAAACAGTAACTCTTAAATCACAAACAAACATTCTGAAAATCTACTTCATCTTTCATTTTGGTGGAGGTATTTCATGTCCTGAAAACAAGCTTTAGTGACACATCAACTGAATTGGTTTTACTGCACTGTGATTGCATGAGTGAACAGGGCAAGCGAAAACAAATATTTAACAGGTAGAACAAACAGTTTTTAAAATTTTTTTTAAAATTTTTCTTTCACCATCACCTGTTGGCCGCAGGAAAAACCACTTCGATTAACACACTGGACATTAGACAATTTTTTGTAAGGAAAAAAGATTTTAGTCTTTACCTACAGACATTTTTGCCTCACAGTCACATAATAATTCCTGTTGTAAGCCATTTCATTCAAATTAACCATCTCAGACTCCCCATCTCGGAACATACAGCACTGAAGTCTATTAGGCACCTACCACTTTCATTTACATATTCCATCTCTTCTAGCCACCAAGTAAACATTTGCAACAGGGGAAATTGAGATGCAGGGAATCAAACCAATAAGCGTAAAACCAGAAGTTCAGTTAACCCTCATGGTCCTCTACTACAGAGTCCCTATCATTTTAGTCTACTCTCAGGGACTGTGGTGACCTAAGAGGATTTTTTATATCAATAACACACAGCTGTAAAATTCTTTGAAAACTGGTAAAAACGACGGACTGAATGTTTCTTTCATTCTATTAAACTTAACATTTTCACATTCATTATAAGGGTGTCTCCAGATGTTAAATGCTAATAAGATTATCCTATAACAATATTTAAGTACATAAGAACTTGTTCATCATCCATTTCACAAACCTTCCGAAGCTGTCTCCAGTGAGCGTAGTTTTTCAAAGCAGAGAAACACTTCCCCATTATGTTCACCCTGTGAGGGAAAAAGTAGCAAACATCAAAGAGAACTTTTATACTCTTTCAAAGCAACACATTTGCAGAGATTATAATGTTACAAAATGTGTCTCTACCTAGAAATACTCTTGGTGGAACTACCAATAAAACTAATACCCAATATTCACTGAAATTATTGGGAACACGCTAAAACAATTAACCATGAAAGACTCATTTCACAACAATACCGATAAATACAGAGTCTTTAATTCCCAGACTCTATATGTGTGTAGAAAAAAAAAGCAGAAACTCTCAAAATACAAAATAAAAGACGAAAAAGAAAAAGAAAACTATGACATTACAACAAAAAACATGTCAGAACATGACAACCAAAACTGGCTATTGACATCTCCGAACTAAAGCCCACAAAATGGTGGCTCGGCATCAATGATAGGATGTGCTTGTATGAGTGTGGGTGTTTGTGTGTGTGTGTGTTTGTGTGTGTGTTTGTGTGTGTGTGTGTGTGTGCGCATGTGCGCCTTTGTGTGTGGGAGACAGGTGACGGGGGGGAGAAGGTAAGTATGTGCACAAACATGAGATCCGGACAACTCTTTAGAAGTAATGGATAAATTACTTATAACGTTTTTCCCACCTTATCAACAATAGTGAATTTATAGTTATTGCAAGTTGATACTTTTGTTTCTTGACCTTTTAAGCTGTCAGACAGCACACTCTTCCCTTTACCTGTACCGTTCTCTAGCTATCTCTGTTTGTGCTGATATCTTCCCTTCCTCTCTGATGTCTTGAGCTTTCTTCCATCTTTGCCATGCCCAGCGCTGCAACTGATGAACATATTGACAAACTTAAGACATTAACAGAACATAGTCTCAAATATACAAGGATCAAGTTGGCTGATGAGGTAATAATAATGATAATAATAATAAATAGCATTTGTGTAGCCCAAATCCCGGCTCACCGGCAAGCTCTGTGTCCTTTGAAACCTACATGATGACCCAAGCAGACCCTCAAACACTCAGAAACATTCTCAACTTCCCAGGAAAATTAAGGGGTGTTATGATCGTATTTTCGTAAAATTGATTAAAAAGGAAAAAAAAAGTTAAAAAACCACCACGATTCCGCCAAATTCATAATGATTTCCCGCCCTTCTCCCAAATATTTTCGTTTTCATTCATTTTCATGGTGTTTCCGCGACAAGGAAATCTGAAAATGAAATTCCCGGCTTTTTCCCACTTGAGTGGGACACCTGACTCTATGACACTACAAGTAATGGAAGCATTTGCAGCTCAGTCTAAAACATGTAGGTTATGTCATACCTGACAAGCTCAGGACTTGTATCAACATTGTAAACTTGTCACAGTCATGGTCTCGGTTCTCAGGATAAAACTACTTGTAATTATTCATCAATAACAGAACAGACAAAATAACTATTAATAGGTTAGATTGACTCCTTGACCCCGGAACTGATTTCCAAACTTTGACAGAATTGATATTTTTTTAAACAACTCAACTCGACTACTTTCACAACTTATGCTTAGACTCAAGACAAAGAATCAACAAAAAACATAAAAAAGAAGAGGTATAGTTTCCCTCAGAGAAGTTTTGAACAAAGTTTTATTCCCACTCATTACAATCAAGATGAAAAACTGCTTATAACTATCGTTCCCATGTGCGTCACCCCAGCTTCTGGGAGCGATCGCTCGTCATTTTGGGTAGAAGCTTCAACAGCTGAGGGACACCACTCGGGTTTAATGAGGTGAGGTAAAGTACACAGAATATGAGAACGAAAAACCATTCTATGCCAAGCCCCATACTTTGGGGTTTTGGAACTATTTTTGTTTTTGTTTTGACCATTAGTACATGAATCTCATTTCTAAACAGAGCTGGGGGGGGGGGGGGGGGGGGAGGGAGGGAGAACATAGCAAGTATAGAGAAAAGATCCAAAGAGCTTGTTTGTACACCACCTCCAGGCACTAAAAAATCTATGCATTATTCAATGTAATCAAATAAAGTTTTTTTTTAAAAGGCCTCTTACCTGCCCCACTCGCAGATGTAATGCCAACTTGATTCTCATCTCCTTGATGTTGGAATGTACAACATTCAGTCTGAATGAGTCCATACCAAACCTCTGTAGACAGATGAGGACAAAGACAAAGTATCAACATAACAGTCAAATAAAATCTGCATACACAACTTTATAAAACTGGGCCAGACAGAGAAAATTCAGATGGCACTGTACCAATAACAATAACAATAACAGAAATCATCCAAATTGACAGAAAAAGGACTTTAAAAATGCAAATGGAGATCGTTTATAGTCAATCAGTTAAAAACACATTTTTGAGGCAACATGTTGAAATCAGGCGCTCTTCCATTTTTGAGCATTTGGAGTTATTGGTGTAATAATATTAAAGCTTGAGCATTTGTCTTGCTTTCAACAACAAAATAATTGAATAGAAGCCAAGATATTTGCAATTGAAGGAGGTTGGGGTTGCCTGATGTCAGAGGTAAAATTAACAAGAAAATGGCAACCAATGTTTGGTGACTTCCAAAGCTTGAGTGTCCTTGAAAATCGAAAATTTACATTTGTTTGTGCCTTTGGTCAACGTTTTATTTTTCAGAAAAATCCTCACAGAAATGAACTTTTCAATGGACATAAAAGGTGTTGAGCCTAACCCCCCCCATAGAATTTGACCAACAGGTGGGAAATGTCGGTTTCATTATTTTGACGAGCACCTGATTTCACCACTGTGCCAAACATTTGAGAGGCATCGTCGTGAAATCAGGCGCTCGTCAAAATAATGAATTCAAAGAAATTGTCATTTTTCCCTCCAGTTTGGCAATTTCTAGCCATTTTTTGTTTTTTGGCTAGGCAACTTTTACGTCCAATTAAAAACACATTTCTGCGTAGATTTTATTTTAAAATGTTGATTACATGCACAAAAAATGTAAGTTTTCAGTTTCCAAGGACTATCAAGCTTTGAAAATCGTGAAACTTTGGTGGCCATTTTCTCACTAATTTTACCTCTGAAACAAGACGACCCTCAACTCCTTCAATCACAAATATCTCGACTTCTATCTATAGATGGTTATTTTTTTCACCAAAATCAAGACAAACGAACAAAATTTAAGGTGATACAAATGACTCCATATGCCCAAAAATTGACAAGCGCCAGATTCCACCCCATTGTGACACATTTGCTTTTTTTCTTTGACTTTGAAACTTGACATTTTGTTCTATCACAAGTAACTAGAGATGTAACAGTGCAAATGCATTAGTAAGGACAGAATGGCACAAGCTCAAGAGAGAGACATTCACAAACTGACACATTGTTAAAAACTCAAAGATTTAAATATCAAATAAAGGTTTTATGTCAATTCTTAAACACAACTGGAATTCTGATGAAAGAAAAAAAAGAAAAAGTATAATAAAGAAGCAGCTGAAGCATAAAAAGTAGTTTACTTACCACGAGCTGACTGCAATAGTGCTGATCTGCCATGGCTTCTCTCTCTCGTTTCAGATTACGCAAGGATATGACTAATCAAGATAAGGTCAGATTTACTAGACTTGGAAACGAACCTTAATGTATCACAGGAAACAATTGTCACATACTGAATGGATTATCATCTATACATATTAACCTGAGTTTAAAAAGGGACAACACTGTGTACATATTATAAGACTGAAATATCAAAATAATGTCATAGCAATGTTCTTTCTTTGTGTGATTTGTGCCCCCCTGCATGTTCTGTGAGCAGTCGTTGTTTATACACTCCCTGTGCAGCAAAATATGTTTTCTTTAGAGAGATGTAACCTACAAATAAATGTCTGTCTCTGATAGGATTGGAGAAGGCACTAACTGCAGGACTTTAAGTCATATCGATCAGAGTCAGAAATCTTACAATAAAGACACAATGAAAATACCAAACCTTCATAGAGTTGTTTCCAACTGCCCTCAAAGGAAAGAATGATGTTAAATGGGAGCAAGCACTAAACAAACAGCCAATAATCCCGGATATCTAAAAACAAAACTACAGGAATAGATGTAAAAATAAGAAACCCTAAGCCCATTGGACTCGCAAAGATTTATCTATTCAACGCAAGAAACTTAAACCATCCCTACTCAACCAAGGTCCACAGTCTTGGAAAAAAGAATTATCATAAAAAAACACACGTTTTATGATCATTAAAGGAGAACATAAAGGATACAGTGTCTCCACCTCCAAATAACCCAACGCAACCTGAAGCTGGTAGAAAGTGCCTCCATCTTCATGTGGTGTTGTTGAAGAGAACGTAGCAGATGCCATCGCTGGTGCCAATGATTAAAGCTTGCCAGCTTCAAGTGGGAATGGTATACCCTGACTGCAAATTCTAAAAGAAGAAATGGAATACAGTATGAAAAAGTATTAACAATACAGTCAAAGCAACTCTAACGCCGACCTGTAAAAGACAATCTCCTGTACAAACAGCAACTTCCCATTCATTCCCCCCTCCCCCTGTGTACTTTTTACATCATAATGACACTGTTTAAAATGGCCACCTGTTCAAGACAGCCTCTTTCTTTTCTCCTCTACAATTGGTGACTGTTTTAGACAGTTTGGACTGTACTTTAAATGACCCGTCACACTAAAAAACATTTTAACACATATAAGACCTTGATTATTCCTTTAACAGGAAGTAAAAGTCTTTGCAAACAAGAAGACTGTAATCAGGATATTCAAGATATTGATCATGTGATTTAATATCAGCCTAAAAAACTCATGTGAGGCAACTGTGGACCGAATCGCAGTTGTCGGATTTCAGACGATTGTCAGCAAACATGCAGGTCTAAAAAGAGCAAGAGCAAACCACACCAGAGCATCTCCCTGGGAGATAAATAAAGATTGTCATTGTCATTGTCAAGCCAACCATTCACAAAGTCACTTTAAATATCTGAGTGATACTTCAAATGCTTACCAGAATGAGCCTTTTTGGCACGCCTATTCCGCACATAGAACAACCAAGCTTTAAGACATCTTGAAACCAATATGCTGTTGTGGTACACACAAGCATCAACATACTGCTGTTGCCGACGCTGCTGTTCAGCAAAGGCAGCTTTCCATACGAGCCAGTGCTTGTGATGCAGAAATAAAGATTAGCTTTATTGAGAGTTTTACAGCATTTGCAACACAATTAAATCATATAAATGCTGAAGATTAGAGGTGATGTAAAAGAGTAACAAAGAAAAAAGGAGAACAGATAAGGATGACAGATGTTTGACAGGAAAGAAGGAGCAACGTCCCCAAGAGCACCTGCCAACCACACATGGATATAAAAAGCATTTCACACACACCCTGATGACTTTACAGAACTATACTCACACATTAGTATTACTTGAGAAATATATTCTGAAACTTAAAGACTGTTACATTTCCAAAATTTTCAGAATTATCTAGACCTTGGGCCTACAATTACAACAAAATATTTTGTTCTGCCACAACATGAGCCTTTTTGAGATACTAACAACTGTAATAAATTTGAATTGAGGCTCCCCCTCAAAAACGACCTTTGTACAAATCTTTGCGACGTACATGAGAGGTCATATTACAAACTTACCAAAAGGTGCAGGTGTGCCCTGTGATGAATATGATTACTGGAAGGGTTATTTTCAGATTTTAATCGACTTTCCCCCTTAAATTTTTGCAGTCTTTTGCTACATTCAGTAGCTTATACTCCCACAGCTGCTGAACAGCGCAATTTCTTTAAAATTAATTCGTTACTAATTTTTCCCTATAATAAGGACGTTTTATGTACAAAAAAATATTGTCTTCACTTCGAGGCCAACTTACTTGGGCTTGGATACGGTAATTCCAAAACTGCACAGCTGTGGACACGTCCTCTTGACACTGTCTTGCCTTATTAAGCCTCTCTTTCCAGATGCCCCATGCAAGTCTGCAAAAAGATTTTTTTATGTCACCTTATATGATCCCAAAATTATATTTGTACATATCATTTTGATACAGAACAATAAGATAAGTAAATATTACTTCTCTACATTTTTTTAAACAGATTGCTGTCATTGAAAAGAATACTGCTGAATGCATGGATCAGTGTTTTTACTGGAAGAGGAAAACATACATTACAATTACTGTTTTCTCAACTCAATCTTAGCTCTTGAGTAGTCAAAAGGAGTTTTCCAGAGATTACTCGTTTACAGGCAAAACATCTGACAATACCCTTCTGTCTCAAAATTATTTTTACGACTGAAAAGAAAAGTAAAGGCAACCAAAATTTCTGATACATCAGTAATATAAAAGTCTTCCTAAATATGGACCACAATCCATCACATTATCTATTTAGAAATATAATTCTGGCTCTTCATCAAGATGGTGTTGTGACTGAGCTATGCAGTTGTACAAAGAAACTGAACGCTTGAAATATTGCACAAAACAACTAGTATATAAACCTTGTAATCTCTTTTCCCCTAAACTGCCTGGCTCTTTTCCTCAGGACTTGCATTCTGTGTCTATGACTGACATAGTCCCTCCATGCATGCCACGCTTGTGTCAGCTGGCACCGCTTATCTGTCACACAACATGAAATAATAAAAGTCATATTACAACGACTTCTCAAAATAATCATAATAATGACAAAAATACCAATAGCTTGTAACTGTCATTTTCAAAGAAACATATCTCACCTCCTCTTTATAACCAAAAAAAAAACAAAACTTTTTTAATAAGGTGGAAAGTACAAGAACAAATATAAAAATACTCCCCTTGCCATCTACCTCTCTCTGTCTCTCTCTCTCTTTTTTGTCTTGCTCTCTCTCAATTCATTCACCTTTTGCACACATTCACATCAAAAGAAAAGAAAGGAAGACTTCAATCCCAGCACGCAAACAAATATACTTAAAGGATCAAACACATTTTAATTGCATGAATTTTGCTCTGATTCAAATGGAGATGAAACTTTTGGCTAAAAAAATAAACTTGATTACCCAAGAATTATAACAAGAAACCAAAATCTTGTCACAGCTGAAACTTCAACCCCTATTAAGTCACAATACCCTTTGCTTGCAAAGACATCACAGAACAACTTTAACAGAAACAAACATTCATATTATAAGAATATTTCCAATGAAAAAAAGTAGTGACTTTTTACTTTTCACAGTGCAATCTTTTACTTGTTACTGTACAAAATCATTTTTAGAAATTACTCTGTTGTATCTCTATCTGAATGCTGACAAAGTGGTTGGCCGACCCAGAGGTCTGTTGTGTCAATACAGAGGTCTTTTTAGTTTTAGTTTTAGTAAAGGTTTTACGGCACTCGCAACTGCATAAGGTCATATGAGCGCCAAAGGGTGGTTGTCAGCAGAGAAGTCTTTACAGGGAATCAGACTCTTGCTCTGCTCACCTCTCTAGCTTCAAAAGCACAAAGTCTGCTTCGACTATCAAGGCACCCCGGAAATAGCAGGTCACAAAAGTGCGACAAACATACAAAAGAAGTAGAGGAAATGACGATAGTAAGGATTAGGAAAGAAAAAGCAGCAGTTCCCTGTTGTAGTTCAGGCACAGTTATGCGCATGACATGGTTTGATCAGCCCATTTATTGTGCATTACAACGAGAAATGTCCCCCCTTTGGGAATGGCCTAAAGACACTTCAGTCGGTGGCACCGTCTAACATTATGTCAAAGCTACAAAGTAAAATAAATTGAGTGTCACTAAAATAAAAGAGGCAATAACAAACCACACCAGAACCAGAACTGCTGTTACAAATATTTGATAATTGAAGACAGAACATCGCTTTCATAAAATCTTACGGAATTCATCAGATGTAGCCTCTTTGATTTTCTCTGATTTTCTTGAATCCACAAACTTCCTCCAGTTGACAAACATTACGTACCATAGCTTGTACCTGGGCAAGAGAACAAATGATAGCAGCAAAGCCTCAACATCAGTGTAACATTTTTTAAATGTTGTCATTAAGTTCATTCCATCAGCTATCCTAACTTTAATCAACCCTCAATTCCTTTCCCATTAAAAAATCATTGAAAAGGATTCCTTCGAATAGCAGAAATCTGTATCAATCAAAAAACTTTAGCTTTCCACATGAAAGGTGAAAACTACTTAATTACTCATAAAATTATTTCTCCTAACTTGTCCACAAACACGTTACATTTCAACAGCAATTTGTATCCACAAAGATGTTTTCCAAGGATTCACCAGCCGATAAAAATATAGAGTTTTCTTTACCTCCAAAGCTTGCACAAAAAAAAGGGAGGACACAAAGTTTTCTACACCTCTGAGTCAGAGATAGGGGGGATTTATTTCTGAATCATCTCAGAAAAGGAACCCCCCCCCCCCCCCCATCACACACACACAAAAACGAGGACCTCCTATAAAAGTTATAGAAAATCAGACCCATCAAGACAGGTGGTTCTGGTAAATCTCAAAATAAATCCCCTCCTAAACTCAATAATTTTTTAGCTTTCGTTTTCATAAGAGTTTTACAGCACCTGCAACACAATTAAGTCATATAAATGCTGAAGATGAGAGGTGTTAGTGGAAAGTAACATACCAAGAAAAGAAGAAGTAGAGATAAGGACGATAGATCTTTGATAGGAAAGAAGGAAAAAACGACACTAGTGCTCCCTCCAACCAACCACAAGAATTGCTTTATAACTTCAGAGTGAAATAATTAAGAATACTTTCCTGACAGGAAAAACATCCCTCACCTTGGTAGGATAATACTGAGATTTAATGGAAACATGTTGTTCCACAGGTTAAAAAAGAAACATTTAACAACCCCTATAACTCACTAAAGGAATGCAGAAGGAGACAGAAAATGTCATTAGAAACATCTTTCCACAGAATTAAAAAAAGCTAGAATGCTAGAGTCGAAAAAAAAGCACTGGCAAATGTCTATTCTAGAACATCCAACAGGCGTGCTTTTGGAGATACACTTAAAAAAACAACAACCCACAATGCAAAATTAATACCTGTAGTGACATTCAGCTCGTACGCTAAGTCTCCATTCCATGACAATCTCCCACCAATAATCATACCAAGTGTTGTACATTTTCCGCATCAAGCTTTCCTTGTAGTGACGCCTTCATAGGATATAGAACATGGAAAATAAAGATTTAAAAAGAGAACTGACAATGTTACTACACTATGCGCATTGGCTTGACAAAATAGAATAAAACACTATTTAAAGTCATATAAAACTATGCAAGGTTTCAAAACTAAAGAGAATGTTCAGTTGGAAACAAATAATGTAACATATTAACAATGTTCTCTATTTGCATCAGTTTGAGTTATTAAATTTAACTCCCTCAAAAAATGTGTTTACTCTTTGAAGATGCACCCACTTTACCCTTTTTTACCGGGCCACCATTTTTTTCCTATCAACAGTACAAAAATCACACTTTCACAACTAAAAAGTACAATTTCTCTATTTTTCTCTTAATACTTTAAAACAAATACTTCGCAAAGATATCCTAATTCGAAAACAAATTGAGGGATTCAACCAAATTATAGGGCTTTAGATGAGCTTTCCACTGACATAGGGGTTGCCACCTTAGACCTCTAGTTTAGCAAATAAACATGTTTAAAATCGTCAGCAGATTATCCACTGACACGGGACAACAGTAGGTTCCCTTGTCCGCGGATTATCCGCTGACGCGTCTTCAAAGAGTTAAAAGATGATATTTAATATAAGCAAATGTAATTTCTTACATGGCAGCAGATGGAAGAACACGGCCAAAAGTTCCTTTCAGCCAAATGTACAGAAACTTTCTGGCAATGCACCTGAAATTTTAATAGAAAACAGTAAATAAATACAAATTGAAGACAAAATTCTTCTATGAGAAAACATTTCCAAATAGCATTAAAAATTACGACTCTACAAGTACAACCTAAAGAAACCAGTGGAATTTTTACATTAATAGTGTGCAGCTTAAGTTTTCCATCCTATGTAAAACCACACATACAGGACTATGAACCATCATTCATTCCACCCCACATCGCTTCACATCATAAGAAAGACTCATAATATGATGCACCCTTTCATGCCTCCAATTTTTTCAAAATCCACCGGGAAAAAAAGCAGACTTCACGCACACACAAAACAAAGACAGGGCTATTGTATAATATTACTGATTTTATGGGGAAAAAATTTGCAAGTGGTATTTCACTCTTAAGAATAATGTATTTAAATTGAAACAAGTCTTAGAAGGAACAGAATTAGAAAGGGCAAAATATTCTTATTTTATCAACCGTACTCCTATCATTACAATCCCAATAATTGACCTCGTGTATGAGACAGTGAAACTATCACTATCCCACCACCAATCTATAACAAGACTCTTCTCCCTCCGAGACCAGACAGAAAATATGATCTACAAGTCAACCTGGTGACTGAAAAGAGGCTGTAAACATCACTACATGGAACAGAAACAAAAGGGAAATCAATATGATTGAATTATATTATTGATTTTTTTTTTTTTAATCAGGATGGGTTCCCTTTAACATAACACAGTATTTCTAGAGTCAAGATAACACTCCAATACATCTACAGAGCATAATTCATTATAGCAAGGGTTCAAAGCCAAGCAAGTGCACACATTAATGACAAATTTTTAAAAAAGATGTGTTTGACTCGGTGACTGTCTTAGAGTTTTCAAGATCATTATATTAAATTACAATAAAGACCAAGGAGGAAATAAAAGAACATTTACCTTATTCTCAGTTCTTTAAGCCGACCTCCTATGCTCCATGTATATCCAGGCCGATAATTCTTTATATCAACAGTACTTCCAACCTTTGCACTTTTGGCAGAACTCACAGTTCCCTATTGGGGCAAGAAGAATAAATCTTTAAAATAACAAAAACAAAATCATCACAGAAAAATCCACCAATCTCAATTTCTTTCTGGTTACAATAGAAAGCATCAATATGACCTGCTAACAGAACAATATACTTAACTGTTACAGTAGCCATTTGAGTCTGGTATTTAATAATACATGCGTTTTAGTCTAGAATCATATAGTTTTTGTAGAATGACTAGCCCATGTCCGCCAACCAAAACATTAAACAATCTACTTGTCTGGTAAGTATAGAGGAGAAAACTGAAAAGCATTTACTCAGTACGTTTTAATGTGTTCAATAAGGGAGTCTTCTATGTCTGTACAACAATTGTTTTTCATACCCAGCTCCACCAAAATAAAAGAAAATAATTCAAACAAGCCATACTGAAGCCTATATTGCCATATGGATGAAAAAGCACATCGGCTCTAGAACCGCTACTTTATTGATGGCAGGTGTTATCTGTGATGACAAACGGAAATTGTGAATGTGAATTATTAAAAAGCCTAAACATAAATATATTGCAAAGGACAAAAACAGTTAAAATATTATAAATAAGCGAAATATGTTTTCTCTTGTCCAGTAACAAGCTTAGCACAACCTTTCACAAGAGGACAAAAAAGTTTGATACAAACCTTGCGGCCAGGATCAATCTTCTGCCCACGTTCTTGCCGTCTCCTGAGCCGAGCTTGTGACACAGGGATCTGACTGAGAGTTGCTGCATGACTGAAAAATGAAGGGATCAAACCGAGAAGAGATCAATTACAAATAGACAACACTCAGAGAAATGTTTTGTTTCACTGTGTGGTCTCAATCATGTCAAAATATGTAGAAAAATAAATAATAATTCTTGTAATTTGTTACAAAAATGAGTCTGAACACAGTATAATAAAAGCTTTGGAGTTGAAACAGCAACTGAGAGACTGTTTCCATCAACCTTTGTTAAGACTGATTCCTGTGGGCATATCACACAATCCACCCATTGGAGACTACGAACAGCAAAATGCAATGTCCATCACATTAGAAAAAACACATTTAAATTATTCTAAATGCAAAGTTAAAACAAATTCAACATAGCACATATCATCTCATCATTTTACCCTCACATCATTCAGCTCACTCTCATACATGACAAAATCAACAAAACAACAAAGTGAAAAGAGATCACACGTTACCTGCATGATCTCACAGCTGAGGAATCTCCAGTTTCTTTTCTCTCCACTTCAGGTGCAGTTGTTTCTGAATCATCTTCCACAATTTCCCTTTCACTTGCTAGCCGACTTCTAATTTGCTCAGCCCGTACTGTCAATGCTGAGCTTAATTCCGCCATAATGTCCTGCTTCATATTTTTCCCAGAGAATTGGCCTTTCTCACTCATTTTACTCGAGACTGCAAACTGTAACTTCAGGTAACATGAACAAATGGAAAAATCCTCCTTCCCAAATCAGTTCTGAAAAATGAAAAATATTCCAGTACACAATTTTAAAGAACAAACTTAACTATATACAGAGATACAGCAGAGTGCAAACTACAATTTCCTGTGTAAAATTTCCACAAATTTAGGGGGATTTTTATTTTTAAAGACATCAAACTCCAGGAGCATAACTTCTAAGAAATTAAAGACTATAGTCTGAATACAGTGTGAATACTAGAAAAAAGAGGAGTTAAAAGTCTTCAGGTGTAAAACCGCAATGCCTCCTAGTCCTATACCTGTTACACTGTGAAGTCTCTGAGTCCAATGCACTGCCAGGCCAGAATTAAATTAAAGTCAGTGTAGTATTACATCGTCGGGTCACTTCCAGGTATTCAGTCAGCCTTATCATACACTAGTAATGAAGAGCTAATTAGTAGTAATGACAATCTTATATTATTTGCAATGGATGTGTGTATGGGAATGAATAATAGGCCTGTAACTATAAAGAGAAATCAAATCCTCTAGTCTGCATGACTCTATCTAAAGTCTAGATATTTATAAACAGAACCTAATTGTGAGCCTGAGCCATTAGGAAGTGGTTATTCTCACCCGGGATGAGATATAACCTTCTATGTCTCACTATTTTCAACCCCACGTTTTATCGGAAATGACCCTAGAGGAATCAGGGCTGAGGTTACCGGGGCTCATGCTCCACAAGATTGTGTTCTTTTTTTGGCTCCGAATCAGGGCCGAGGTTACCGGGGCTCATGCTCCACAAGATCGTGTTCTTTTTTTGGCTCCTAACTCCAAATGTTCAAGAAGGGGAAAGAAGAGGCAAGAAAAAAGAAAAAGAAAGAATGAAAGAAAAAAAAACGAAAGTGAATTAAAGAGCCTGGATTGTTTCATTATTAAACTAGTTAACACGATTTAACGCCTTCGCCCATTTGGTCTGAATACTTTACAACCCTTCTACCGTCCTCCAAGAGCATTAGTCTCGTGCTTGTGTCCTGTTACGTTCATACAGGCTCTCTGTTCCTTGAACCATAATTTATTGTGTGCAGGCAGAGAGGCCTGCCTCCGTAAGTGTGTAAACAACGAATGGTCCGGCCCACATCTCGTGCAGTAGCGTCAGTAGTGAGACATAATTATTTTTTACTGAAGAGGCGGAAAATGTTTTTACATTATATTAACAATTATTATTAATATTTGTTGTTCATTAAAGAATTAATTAGTAAAGATCTCGTTAAGATGATCATATTATATTTCAAAAGTCTGCATCGTAATTTTCCAAAGGCCCTGTATTTTCATACCCCGACTTTCATTCTATAAGAGCACTCCTTCATCTCATGGGATAGAACGCTTGGAGCAGGCAGAATTATATAAAGCAAGTGGCTATTCTCCGGCGTCGCGCCGGTCAATAGATCGGAAGCTATTCTCCGGCGGTCTATTACTTATACAATGTATTTGTTGGCGCAGATTTTGAGATACAATAACTAGATCTCTAGGCCTAGATATAGTAAGCCTACCTTTCATTATATTTTATCTATGATAATTGTCTAACGTAACTTTATTCATTTATTTTATTGGGGTCGTCATTAAAATAATGATTCTGTTTCTTTAAAAATAACAAAATTGATTTTGTGTCTAAAATCCTGTAGGGTCATAGTATAGCTTGCTGTTTAACTTATCTATTGTTGTTATAATTTTCTATAAATTTAACAGATATTTCGCGACTTCAGTGCTTTCTTGTCGTATTTCTGTTTTTGTAAACAGTGAAAATGTAACTTCTTCTTAATTCTAAATTGGAGGAATCGAGGCAGTTTGTGTCTGAAAACGTATCGTCTGTATCAATGGAAGTGGCACGAAGTGGTGAAGTTATGGGAATTTTTTCCCAAGACAAATAAATTGTAATTCATAAGTCACAGCTGCCACTCAGGAATTTCAAAAAAGGAGGAAATTCATGCGAAGGCGGATGCGCCCTCTCCGAAAGCTGGAGTAAAACCAGTGAGATCCAGAGGCAATATATACTGGAAAATCTAGCCTATGGTTTTGGAAGGGAAAACTGTCATATTTGTTAACCATAGGCAACTGAATTAAAATGTATTTGAAAAAAACAACAACAACATAACAAAAAACAAACAAAAAAACCCAACAAAGGCACTAAGTTAAGTAGACTAACAAGCATTTGAGTCAATTTGACACAGTTTAGACTTGGTGACTAAAAATCCAGTGTTTGTTGCAAGCTGGTGTCTTATAAAAAGATTTCTTTCAACTTAAAACTTGTACATCGATGTAGAGTGCGCGCAGTATTGGATCAAGGAGGCAACACCTCTGCCGCTGTACTGAGCACTCCTGTGCAACTGCAGTCCCGTTTGCACTTAACTTAGTAGTCCCTCTGTAGAGTGTAGATCTAACCTGAATTAAAATTATAGCCTAGGCTATCTAATCTAGATCTAGAATCTAGATATCTAAATATGTGTAAATCTAGATTATATCTAGAGATAGATTATCTAGATCTAGATCTAGAGATAGATTATCTAGATCTAGATCTAGATTCAGTGTTCACTTCATCAACAGCCACAATATAGATCTAGAATCTAGCCGTCTTGTAAACAAACGGGACCGCAATTGTACAGGAGTGCCGCGGGCCGCGATTTCTTTATCACACCAAACGCAAAGTGCAGCAAGCGGTTTGTTCAATTTTCTCATGAACTTTTCAAGTCGCACCGGCAGCTTCTTTCTCATTTCAGCTCCTTTCATTTTTGCATTCAGCATCAATTTCTCTCGAATTTCCGCCGTTTTCATTGACAACTCGGCGCGCTAACGTCCCGATGCCCAATCGACACTTTGTTGCTCCACAATAAACAAAGTGAAACTAACGCTAGGCCTAGAAGAACGGAAGTAGAAAGCTACGGGCGGACATGCGCAAGCTGCGTTTTCGTCTCTCTCCCGGTTCGGTGTTTTCCGCGTGTAAAAAAAAGTATCGCAATTAGCGGCCGAGAGCGGTCCATCGGAGGAAGGAGGAAAGTAGCGGGAAAAGCTAGATGAAGCGGAGTTTCCGCTATTTAGCGGGAAAGTGGCAGCTATGATAAGTAATAGACCGGCGGCATGACGCCAGAGAATAGCTTTCGATCTATTGACCAGCGCGACGCCGGAGAATAGCCACTTGCTTAAATCACATTAAAAAATATAGATCTACACCACTGTCATTGTCCGTGGGGGGGGTGAGAATAGCGGGTCATGAGTTATTCTCACCAGGGGTGAGAATATAGGTGGCTGAGCCGTACATGCGGATAAACGTTAAACGACGCAAACTATTTTTGTATAAGGCGGCCATCTTGTTTGAAGTCAGACCGGTATACCTCTCTGATCGTGTGACTAGATCTAAATATAGCCAACCGCATGGCACCAAAGATGGAAGTGTCATATCAAGCTTAAGCTACGCTACCTCCCGCTGTTGGAAGTTCTGATGGCAGAATGGCAGAATGGATAACGTGTCTAAGTTTGAAGTCATGCAATTATTTTATGAGCAGGAGATCGAATCCCAGTCCCGGAAGGGGTTTTTTTTTTCTTGCTGTTCTCCTCCTCCCAACTGACCAACAGTTTGTCCCATAATTATGATTTGTTGCTTTATAATAGTTTTTTTATTTATGTAGTGATGAAGCATGCAGGAGGGGGGGGGGAGAGGGTAATCCTCCGGCGTCTTTACGGCAGTTTGTCTTTGCATTTTTTACTTTCCCCTCCCGTCTCACACTTAGCTACCAGTTGTTCATTTTCTACTAAATATTGATGCACTCTACATGAATATCAACTTCTTTTGAGTCACAAATAAATAGTTTTTGAAATATTTGACTGTTCTTAAAAAATAGAGATATAATATGTGCTTTGGACCAATCGGGGGCGGGGGGGGTCCAGGGGGGGCCTGCCCCACAAGGGTAAAAGAAAATCGGGGGGGCTTACAGGGGGTTTGCCACCCTGTTTTAACCCATAATTTGATCATTTACAAGTTAGATTTGAAATTTTCTTGAAAATAATTGATTTATATTATGGCTTATAATATAGATCTATGTCTAGATCTAGATCTAGATCTAGATCTAGATCTATGTGTGATCTGCAGCAAGCAAACAGTAGAGTAACAGTAACAGTACTGCAGTTTCCCCGAAGCAGTACATCTGTGTGCGGGAGTGACACTAAAAATTTACCCAATTGGGTAATATCTAGATCTATATCATATAATACAGTAATACTAATACGTGTACAGTATTCTGAAACTAGATTCTACAGTAGTCCACCCGTTGGCGTTGTCGTTGGTTGACGTTGCTATGCGTCCAACTCCAGGCCCAGGTTTCACAACTGTCACAAAGTTTGCCTAAACATACATTTCAGTTCAAATCATGGCATTGCAGCACAAATGTCTTTATTGCTAACACACTAGCAGCGATATTCACAAATAAGAATACAAGATGCAACTACTATTCTATTACTATAGGCCTAATATAGAGTGAGTCCTCGCCTTCTGTGTGCACAGTACAGGAACGGACAAGTTAAAGGGAGCCGCCATTACTCTTAACTTCTTAACAATTGTTATTTCTAGCACAGAAGATGGGATGTAAACATGAAAATCTTGCCTTTTTGAATTCAATTTTTTTTCATAAACGGACGCCTCTCGGAGTAAACGATGCTATTTTATAGGCCTAGTATTTTGAACTATTTTACAGTCATAACATATTTTTGTAACTATTTAATTAAAACCCCTAGGCCTAGTGTTTTGGAAATACCAACTGTTTTCCTCCAGGTTTTAGATCAACTTTTTAAAAAAAGAAAATGAATACGCATAGTCAGCCTGGCACACAGAATTATCTGTGGCCTGTGGCCTGGCATTATATCCGTACTAGAATCTAGCAGGGGAGACCATTACTAAATTACCATCACACAGAATTCTGTGATTACCATTAAGACAGTAGACAGTATTTGATCTCTGATGGACTGACTGACAACTGAAGTGAAGTGACTGCTTGCAGTTGTTCTTGATTGTTGTGTTCATGTCTACTGTTACCTGATTTCCAACAACATAGGTAGATTCTAGTGGCAATTACTAACGAGGTGAAGAATCCCTTTGCAGTATTGTTCACCTGCAATTATGAATTCTCAAAATCAATTTTATCGCTATGGGCAAAGCAATTTCGACAGTAGCAGTAGTGGGGGTTTTGACCAAGGGTCATGGCAACAACCACTACCACCAGCTCAACTTCAACATTCACAACCACAAGGTGCCAGTGAACCAGTTTATTATTCAGGAGCTCCTCAGAAGTATCATTCGTATCAGTCAAATAGGAGTAACGAGACAGGAGGTGCATCTAATGGAGGCATGGATTCTTATGCTCATACTATGGCCGGGCAGAGCAACTCTACGTTTCTATCTAGTGAAGGAAGCCTCAACAAAGACAAAGGAAGTCGAAATTCCCAATTCCTACAATATCAGCAAAATCTAACTACTGACACTAATGTATCATCTTTTTCTAATGCATCTAGTAATATGCAACAAGTGCAGGATGCTGGTGAGGGAAATTATTATGGCTATGCAGATGATTCGTTCAATGCAAGTGGAAACTGGATGGGAACAGATTCAACAGGAGTCTCAAACACTGGTGGAAACTATAATGCTACTTACAGTGATATGACAATGATGAATAATTATGATGAGCAAAGTGGAATGATGAATGATCGAAACTCTGGAATGGGTAATGGCAAAAGAATGGAAAGCAATTCACATATGAGTACCAACCCTGGAATGATGGATGGCAGAAATAAAGGAAATTTCATGAGTGCTGGCATGGGAAATGGGGGAAATATGATGTATGGAAGCAACAACAGTAGTAACAGTAACAATGCTTACAATGCTGCCATAGATAACTCCGGACTTTGTAACAATGGAACCGATGTGTCTCTGGGTGTGATGGAACCATTTAGTGGAAACAAGTTTCAGTCTCAAATGATGCCACAAACTCAGACAGCTAAAGGTGAGATGGGACAATTTCCAAACTGGCAAGACTGCAACAGCCAAAACTACAACAGCAGACCAGTAAATCAATTTCAGGATGGAAATTTTAACAGTAACACTGGTAACACCTATGGAAGGCGAGGAAAACGAGGCAGAGGTTTTGGTGCTAGTTCAAATGGGAATAGATTCAAGGGTCCAGATATGTTTTATCAGCCAGCTCGAAACAATTTTAGTGTTGGTGGAAATCAACAACTCACCGTGCAATTGAACGCTACAAACCATAATCAGTGGGGTTTCCTGAGAAAAAACTTCAACAAGCGAGATGATGACTTAGCCCAGCATCTTTTTGAGACTCATGAGAAATTCTGTCACAGTTGCAAGGAAAGGTAAAGTTTCATAACTTTGTGTAGGAACAATACTGTTGAGGTCTGTCCATTGCTTGTTATGACTATTTTTGTTTTCTTTCACCCCTCTGTTGCGAGAAGATACGTGCGTTCTTACTGTCAACACTGATTTTCAGCTACAGTCATTTGCCAGGACAGCAGTCTCATCAGTCTCTGTGTCAGTGGACTCGTCTGGTTCCGACCCACCGTTGACACTTTTTGATCCCGAGTCCTCGATAGTGTCACCTTCCTCACTTTCCTCATCCCCATATATTCCCCATCTCTCATAATTTTGAAAGTGAAAAAGTGAAATTTGCTTCCTTTTTGTTGACATTTTGGTGCATGCATACATTTTAGGGAAGCCTGTTTTCGACTAGACTTGTGTTTATCATTTGTTTCTACCTCTAGTAGTAAAGTAATACAGTGAAACTAGGATAAAATGAACTCAGAATCAAGGAAACAAGAAGAATTCCCTGATTTTTTTTTTCCAATTAATTCAAATCAGCAAAATACCTCGAATATTTATACAAAATGTAAATTAGCAAATAATAAGGATAAATTTAACGAAATGGCTACCAATTTGTAGAGCGAACAGTCCCCACTGGTGTGGCTTCACAGGTATTTCTCTTGTAACGAGCCATGACCTTTTATCTCTAGCCCCTTCCACATGACCATAGCTCGCCCTGCACCAAGGATCATTACACACTTATAAAATTGCCTGTCACACACTACACACTACAATGGATACACAGCCATGGTATGTGAACCAAATACCAGTCATTTGGTCACACCAGTGCAGTCAAAACGTCACAGTCATCTTGTCACACCCTAAACTCACAAGGTTGAATGGAGACGGTCATTTTGTCACACACTTGCAAACATCAAACGCACGTTGTCATGGCAATCACAAATCACGATTTTTTAGGAGGGTTGGGTGGTGTTTGGAAGGATGAGGATAGAGTGGGGGGGGGGGGGGGTGCGAGTCGTCGTGCCTACCTGATCAGCTACACCATTCATAACTGGGTGAGTTTTGTTCAGTTTATTGGTGATGGGGGGGGGGGGGGGCAGTTTTAGGCTTATAATCTTTATTAAAAACAAGAGTAGAGGGAATGGCCCAACAATTACGGGCTTGAATTGGTGATTTAGAATAAAGACTGCTGGCACTAATCCTACAAAACTCTAGCATAAAAAGTTTGGAGAGATAAAAAAGTGAAGTCATTTCGTCACACAAAATTGGGGTGTGATGAGATGACCATGTGACGAACCTGTGAACCAGCTGTAGGCCGTCTTCCAGACCAACGCCATGCGTTGTCGACACACCCAAAATTTGTGTCTAAGTTCATGCTGGGGTCGAGAGAGGCTGAATGTGGGTCTAGCACACGTGTGGCTGTGTGCCAGTCTGTCTGAGGGGGTATAAAAAGAGTTTTCTGCTGTGGAACATCAGCAGAAATGCAGACAAGTCACAAATTAATATTTTCCCAGGCTACTGAACAGTGAGACTACACTTAAATCTACATAATGAGTTGCACACAAGTCTGTGGAACCACATGGTGCCATACATTTTAAAGCCTAACTGGCCAAGGCTCTACACTGCAAACCCATTGTGGTAATATAGTTTGCATCACCACTTCAATTTTCAACATTAGCCGTAGCACATTTGATATAAATTCAAAGAAAAGAGAATGCCTCTCGTTTGAAACCAAACTGTATGTATACTGTAGAACTATGTTGGTTAGTCCAGGACACATTTGATTTAATTATTTTGGTTTGTGTTAAGGGAAGCAACTGCTAATATCAAGCACTTCCAGGTATTATAGGGGGGGGGGTTTCCCATTATACTATAACGCAACATGTTCATATCATGTCTATATTGTTACTGATTTTTTACATTTTGACTTTTTGTGACACCTTTCTTATCTATATGAACAATCAGTTCCAACTAATTTGAAGGTGTGGGCCACAAGACTTCGTTTAAAGTAAAGCGAATTTCACATTGCAATCAAATTTGATACCAGGTACCTATCTGCACATTTTTTATTCTCGAGTATGAATCCAGGCTGTGCGTGGGGCTAAATCTGTGTAGAAGAATTAGAGCCAGAGGATTAGTTGGACATACATGTAATGCCTTATAGGCAACCAGGAACAGCAAATTTTGCCAACTTTATTGATGTCCATGGTATGGCAAAAAGCTAAAAATTATGCATTTTCATAACGTGCCATCTTAAGGCAATGAAGGAGTAAAGAGCTGTAAAAACTGTAAAGGGTTTTTATTTTGGATAATCTTTCTTGGAGGAACATATCTTAATAAAAACCTACAATTGTCTAATTGTAGCTCAGACATGATGAACTGAGACAAAGCCAGAACTGGAAAGTGTAATCACCAGCTTTCTCCCTGGACTTTGCTATGGAAGTCGTAGCTCTGGCGACTGGAGTTCCTATTTTATTTTATACTAGCACCATTACTGCTGGCGCTGTATGAGTATAAAAGACTTAACTGTCTTAACTTTTCACATACAGCATGACATGGCACACCAGGTTGTCAATAATGTTTGTCCACTGCACCTGGTGAACAGGCACATGATATATCTTTCTTGTTATTTACAGTCAAAACATACAACTGTGAAACCTCAGCCAATCCATGTCATCTATATAATTAGACTTTATCTTTCATGGAGTATTCATTTCTACTTAGTTTGGTGCTGATTTTGGGTAAATTGTTGCAAATAGGCTAACTAGAAGTGAAATTACTGGGAAATTTGTGATTCTGAAAAATTGGATGACAATATTAGCTGTGTTCAAATGTGGAATAGCCTTTCATGTAAACAAGAGTTAGGAGTACATTGTAAACAGGTCTTGTTTTGATATTGTCCGAACTCCTAGTGTGAAAGGCATGGTGATATCCTTCTATCATAATACAAGTACAGTATTATCCTTGATAGCCCACTGTAAGAAAGATTCCACTTTTTTTCTTTTCTTATTTTGTGTACTGTTGCTTGTGACTCTGCACCTGCACATATGCACACACATACATACTCACACAGACATATACACACACACGCACACACATGATTGTACCTGTGGAAACACACTAATTTTACGCTCTTGTATTATGAATGTATCACTAATGGAACTGGGAATATCTGCATGTATTATATCTCTGTAAACATATTTTTGTTTGTAGGAGAACATTGCTTACATTTTATTAAAATCATTGTAATATTTCTTGTCCTCAGAACTGAAGAAAGAAAGTCTACAAAGAGAAAAAAGATATCTGAAGATGTATCAGGTAATGTTGTCTATAGAAGTACCGAAGACAATGTTGTCAACATTTGTGTGCAATTGTCTTCAATATTAAGTAAGCTCTAAAGTAAGTTACTCACATTGTATAATATAAATAAAAGAAAGCATGGAAATGTCCTGAAAAAAGATGTACTAGAAAAGGTAATGATCTTACCTGAATCAATGGTTATAATCCATGACTCTGCTTGACATTAGAATGCAAAAAAATATATGGCAGATTGCTGTGGATTTAAAAATAGCCTTCTACTTCTCGTTTTTAAACATTATTTCTTTACCAGCCCCAATCTCATTGACAAACAAAATAATTTTTCAGACTTTGCATTTTACTTCATGCAATTCAAGGTATCTAATTTTAAGTCTTTTGTTATTGTTTATTGTGAACATCATCACCCCTACCATTCACCCCTGGCAGGGTATAGGCCACATACAAGCTCCTTCCATTTATCTCTGCCCTGGGCCATCCTTCCAAGCTCATTCCAAGTGAGCTTCATCTCTCTCATGTCCCTTTTCACACATCTCCTCCATGTTTCCTGTGGCCTTCCCCTGCCTCATGCTCCCTGTGGGTTCCACTGCAGCGACTGTCTTGTAATGTTTCCACTGGGCTTAATGAGGATGTGTCCCATCCATTGCCACTTTCTTAGTCCTATTTCTAATTTTATATCCTTTTGATTGTGAACATAGATGGATTTATAAACTTAATCCAAATTTTCTTCAATTGTTAGAACAAGAACAAGAAACCACAGAAGAGCCAGAGGAGGAATTAACAGAGGAGGAGCTTGAAATGAAGAAGTTGATGGGGTTTGCTGGTTTCAAATCTACAAAGGTACATAGTACATGGCTTAGTTTTTCTAAATAGATGCTACTTGAAGATTTAAGAAAAAGATTATGAACAAAGAATACTACTCTGTGGCTGGAAAAATGTTCATGTATGTAACTTAATAGGATAGATAGCAATGGATTGAAAAATGGACAAACTGTGGGTGGCTGATGGGTGCTCTGGTGTGGCTTACTCTTTCTTTCCTATCAAACATTTATTGTCCTTTTCTCTCCGCCTTCTATTTTGTGTTTGTTATTCTCTTGTAACGTCTCTAATCTTTGGCACTCATATGACCATGTTGTGTTGTGGGCGCCATAAAACCTTACTAAAACAAACATCGACAAACTGATCGCTGTTTAATCTGATGGGAGGAAGCCGTCAAAGAAGACATATCTATATCATGAATATTATAATGTAATAAAATTAATTGAATTCAACATCAATGTATTAGGTTCTTTCCGTTGTAAAATAAGTTTCCCTCCATTATACCCGCCCTCACAAATATTGTTGTTAAAACTGCTTTAGTATTTCGAAATAAACTTTATTTTATTACCTATTCAACACATGCTCTTTTAAAGTCTAGGCCTACACATTTTTCCATACAATGCACCCAGCATTGAAAAACATAAAGTAATGTCCCTTTATCCAAAAAATTCAGAAGGGGTTAAAGGTGGCAAAAAGGGTGTGTGCTCGGACAAATCTCATATCTTATGATCTCTGGTTTTCCTACAAATCTGCTGATGTATATAGAATCTTAAGAAATATATTCACTTTGTTAACTGATTCCCTTTATAATTGCTCACAAGGAACTGTATTGTACTTTTTTTTTTTCAGGGGGCAAAAGTCAAAGACAACTCATATGCAGCTGTCTCATGTGTAAAGTCTGATGATGGTGACCAGTAAGTACAGAGTACAAGTCATTATAAAGCATGTTTGTTTTGTTGTTGATTGAGGGGAGGGGGGGTTGTCTGGATTTGTTTTCGTGTTTGTTAGGGGGGGGGGTGATATTTTTTTAACTACAGTATAACACGGATAGCTCGATTTTGAAGAGACTGGCCTCGGTAATTCTCGGGATCTGTAGTTCGAGGGATATCTTACAAAGATAAAGAAGAAGAAAAGAATGGGACCGCAGGCACAATTTGGCGGATGCGTGATTTTGAGTCTTCCGTTTTCGACCTATCCATGTTATACTGTACTTTTATGGTATTGTAAAAAGTGTGCTCTGTCAAGTGGTTCTAAAATTTTATCTTTTCTATGGCCATGTTGTGGTTGCGAAGTACATTTGAAAATACTTTTATTGCCGCCTGTACAGGACAATTACCTGTACAAGTGACCACTTAAAATTCCCATTATCCCCCTGGCATTCTTCTTATATTACAATAAAAGTGTCTAAGAAATTCATCTGTGTAAGACAGCTAATTTTCTCCTTGTCAGTGGATGGCTGTCTTGAAAAATTTCAACTGTATGTTGAAAATATTAAAATTCTTTGTAATTGTCATTCGTTAAATTCTGCGGATACATGAAGTGAGCAATACTCAAATCTCTATGGAGGATTTTCTGCCTTCTTTGTTTGTCGCTTGTCTCATGACATTGAATTTCTTCCTGTTCAAATCTTAAAAACTTTTCGTCTTGAGATGAAATGTGAGTGTAATTGTATTGACTGGCTGAAGGTCCCAACTTAATTATCGTCCATCTGTGTGACATGATGAAGTCAGGCACATACATGTCAAAATATTTTAATGAAAGAAACCGACATTTTTCACTCGTTGATCAATTTTTATAAATTTTGTTTTAATTGGTTCAATGCCTTATATCCATTTAAAAACATTTCTGTGTAGATTTTATTGAAAAACATGGATCAAAGGGACGAAAGTTTAAATTTGCAGTTTCCAAGAACACGAAAGCCTTGGAAATCACCAAACATTGGCAACCATTTTTTTTGCAAATTTTACCTCTGAAACCAGGGGACCCCCACCACCTTCAGTCACAGATAACTCAACTTCTTTAAAATTGTAAGATTAATGGGCTTTTTTTTTCCAGCAAAAACAAGACAAATGATCATGCTTTAAGATTAGTCCTATAGCTCCATATATGCCCAAAGACTGATGAAAGCCTGATTCCTCCATGTCTTGACATATATGTCTAAATAGGTGAGAGTTGTGGCTGTTTACACCCACCACAAACCCAAAGAATTAATACTTTTAGATCTTTTAATGTGGATGATATAATAATACTACTTCTCTCCCTTTCCCCTGAACCTTGAATGTCTCAAAGAAGGGTGGATTGTAAAAGAGGTTAAGAGATTAAGTCTTTGTAGCCAACTACAGTCTTTGGGAAGAATGGATTTTTGTAGGTGAGGAAAGGTAAAGAGGTATCTTGTTCCTTGATCCCCTACCATGTTCATATTCTTGTCATGTCTATTGTAATCATTTTTTACTTTATTTTGTTTTTGTCCTCAGGGACACTGAGACGAAGAATGAAAGTAAGTGACAGTTTTCTATTTGTATTTTCTATATATGCAACATAAATTTTGGGTTTTATTTTACTATGTGCTTTTGACATACTTTAGTTGTTCTAACCCAGTTATAATGGAAATTTTAAAGACTTCTAAATGTAGAATAAAGTAAGTTAAATGAAAGAATGAATGCATAATGAATTCTGATCAAGTTTTTGTTGTTGTGTTGTTGTTTTTCTTTGTTTTGTTTTTTGTAATATTTATATCTTAAAAGGAAATCCATGGTTTTATTGGTGTTCCCTTGATTTATTCATCTTTTCTCTCTCTGTACTTAATAGTGGTTGATCGTTCTGTTTTTCCTTGGCATCACATTTCCATGTCTACTAGTTTGGTTCTTTTCTTATTTCCGCTGTTCTCAAGACGCTGTCTTATCCCGTTGCTATGTTTTATGGTCTCTTATTTTGTTTGTTTGTTTAGTATAGGGTTTTACGGCGCTCGCAACTGCATAAGGTCATATGAGCGCGCGGGACACACCTAATACTTTTTCGTTGGTAGGAAATTTTGAATTTTGCCCGGGTGGCGGCCGAAGCCTACTCTTATCGATTTTAGACCACCAAGGGATCTTTAACGTGCGCAACTTGCACACGGGCCCTCCGAGATTTTTCGCCCTTGTCCGAGAAGGCTAGGTGTAGATCTTTCCTACCAGAAGATCAGGGGTGTGACAGAGACAGCAGTTAGGAGGAGCCAAGGAGTAGCAGTAGAAAGGCTGCAGAAAGAGTCAGGAGCCCAGAGGAGGGGGCAAAGGAGGTGAGGGGGTGGGGGCAGAAAGTGAAAATGAAAGCAGACAACAGAACATTGTTAGAGATCAGGAAAGGATGTGAAAGGAGACAATTTTAGAGAAGAAAAATTTTTGGTCGCTACCCGGAATCGAACCCGGGACCTTTGAATGAGAGGCCAACACCTTAACCTCTAGGCCACGAGAGCCCCTCTCTTATTTTAGCACTGAAAATGTTCTTCGCCTCATATGTTGTAATGGGACTCTGTAGTGTAGTTATTTACACTGTAACCAACAAGTAAACCTTTTTGAGTTCCCAGTCTGAGTGCAGTCCGCCTTTTTCTTATTCTTCATAAATTGTTACCTCTCAGCCCAATCAAGGGGACAAAGTTTTGTATTTGAAAGAACATGGTCTATGTCTAGAAGAGTATTAGACTTTGATAATTCACACTGAACAAAATGTGTTTTATGCAAATCCACAGGCTCAACATTGACTGATGAGGAAAGGAAAATGATTGAGTCTATAGGTGGATATTCAGTGTTCTCAAAAGGATCATCATCAGTAAGATATCTTCTATCATTCTGATGTTAGGTACCCTACAAGCTTACTTCTCTTAGATGATACGAACTTAGTTATGGTCAGTTTTCCTGTATGTCATATACAGTCGGGCAAAGATAGCACGAAGACGGAAAACTCGAAATCACAGATAATTTGTACATTGAGCCGTTCCCGGACTGAGATCTCTTTATTTTTTTTTTTATTGGTTAACCCAAATTATGGATGTGTCAAACACATTTGTCGATCCCTGATGTATTTGAGTTGTCCGTGCGCAGCAGAATTTTTACCACCTTGCCCATGAACAAAAAAGAACCCGCTGTATTGCTTTTTCTTTGATCATTACAAAGTCCTGAGTCAATGTTTCTCTTTCCATATAAGATAAAGCTCACAATACTTGCAACACAACGTATTATAATTGGTTCTGAAGGGAAACATGTTCTTATGCTGATAATTGTACGTCTATTCAATTTTGAAAAAGTACATGGAACTTATTTCCCCTCCTAGGAGGAAATGTATTCAGTGATACGGCTTTAAATATTTTAGATCTTGAAGTCTATGAAAAGAACTCAAAATACAGGATGGAAACAGGGTTAACATTGATTATTTTCTAATAAGTTTTGCTTAATGTATATCTGTGTATGTTTGGCAGAATGAGGTCACTTCTCCTACTAGTTCTCTGACCTTTGGAGCCCCTGCAGTCACGATGACCCCAAGAGAAGGATCTGGACCCGGCTACTCAGACAAACCTCTATTTGGCAGGAACAAGTCTCAGCATATATAGTGGTGGGAATGTGTATTTGGCAGCTTAAATCATGATCTATGAGATATTATGTTGTGTAGCCTTAGTTGTCAAAGTCCCAAAGCAGGTGCAAGGAGTAGGAGGGGTTTTGATGTTTCTTCAACACCTCTCCTGCAAATGAAGTCAGCAACTTTTGCTTCCTTATTATTATTAACGCCTTAGTGAGTGACTATCAATCCAGTTGCTAGCTGACCACCTGCCAGTATCATGATTGCGGCCAATTTTTTAAATGTAAGAAAAAGAATACCTATAACTGGAATTGGAGGAATTTTCATTTTAACAGACATCTGCTCTGTAAACAATCAAAGAATGTGTAAATTTTGATAAAAGAGATTATGTGGAGAACAAAGGTTAAATTTACAGAAAGTTGGACAGGTTTGTCTTGAGAAATGTTTCAATGCAGGAAATTTTCTCGTTGAGAGACGAATTTACTGTGCATTTATCTTTAAAGTATTACTGAAAAACTCTCCCTCAGCTTTCTATAGCAAAAAAAAATATAAACAACAGGAGTATTTTTATAGTTTTATATGAAAGCAAAGGCTGGGACCAGTATGGGTGATTTCTTTTCTTGAACAAAGACTTCAGATTTTTAAAGCTCAACCTTCAGCTGTTACAGATGTACTTTTTGGAATGCTCATTGCTTCCAGACTTTTGCGAAGGCTGGGTTTTACTCTTCCTATCTTTAATGTTTCATTAGTACTTTGCAGGGACTCAGCCATAAAATTTAAAACTTAAATCTGTAAGTGTTATGATTATGACTTCATTGGGGGGGGGTTTTTCCTTCATTTTATCTCTGGCCTCTTAAATTTTCATTCAGGGAATTTTGGCAGTCCAAAGTTTGTTCGAGATTTTTACAAGACATCAGTGTTGTGTTTGCTTTATTTTACTCTTGAAGCAAAGGCTAGATGGTCATAAGTATGGATGGTTTTTGGTCTATTACAAATTACGTGAAATAGAATTGCAGGAAAGCTGATCCCAAAGAGTTTTTCAAAATAAATGATTTTATTCTACGTTACTTCTTAGAATTGCTTATGTTATGATTTATTTCAATGAAATATGAAAGATTTTTAAACCCTAGCTTCTGTTACTTCTAATTTATATTTGTCATGTATCAAAAGGTACAGAAATTACCATTGACTAACAAGAGACTTAAATAGTGCATTTATTGCACTGTTTTGATGATGTAAGCCGTGTTAAGGCTGTGTGTTGGGGGGGGGGGGGGGGTGGAATATTGGATGTTATCATACAAAAGTTTTTTAATTACAAGAAAAACAAAATGCATTGTATTGAAACCAAGATCTGTGACTTGTGTTATTTTTTGTTTCCATACTGGTAATACATTATTTCATTCAGGTGTAAGTGTGTTTTGTTTTGTTTTCTATTCTATGAATGATGATACAGTGTATGATGATTGTTGCAAATATTGTCAAGTGATTGTAATTCTAGTGGTTATGGGGGCGATAGTAATCTGAAGGCCTGCTTGGTATGAGCAGGCAAGGACTTTCATTTTACCATCAGCTTTTATGTATGAGATGAAGTGGAGGCTATAATGGTATTGATTCTTTTAACATGTCAAAAGCTCTGTTTGTTCATTGTTTATCTCACAATTTCGATAATTGCTGGTTTGTTTTACTTTGGTGTTGTTCAAAAATGGTAGCTCTATCTAAGTCATTTTCAGTGTTTACCAGGTGTTGTTGTGTCTAATCATGTCATAGGTCCTTGTTGTTTCATTAGATTTTATGCAAAGATGAATTTTCTTCTAGTGCAATAAGTCTCAGAAAAACACTTGAGTAAAGAAAATATTGCTCCTGTTTATTGTCAAAAGAAGAACTGGCACTCCTCAAGACATTATTAAGTATTGGCGGTAAAGTTTGCTGCTTTGGATAAAAAGGAGTATCTTAAGTGAGTAAGTTACTGAATATGAGAAAGTGTCGCACTTGATCTACTTGATGTGGGCTAGTTACTGGATATTATAAGAAAAATATCTTTTTACTTCTTTTTTAGGTGAGATGAGATTAATGGTTGTAATTCATGTTCTTGCCACGGGGAACTAGTTTTTTATGCAAAGTGGATATTTAAAATAATTATCACTGTGCTCAAAGTTTCGTAGCTTTGATTAAGCTAAGGTTAGTATTTTATAATCAAAGTGTAGTATCTTGTGGTGAGAAGTAAGTCCACATTACCATAATTCACATCCGCCCATATATATATATATATATATGGAACTTGCTAGGGCTCTAATATTAAGATTTATTCAAGAACATGTTAGAAAAATAAAAGGAAATGACTGCATCTGATTTCAGTGCACATTGTTAATGTTGTTTATGTCACATGTATCAGTGTCACCTTCAGCTGTGTCTTCCTCCTTCCTCTGTATTCTCAGACATTATATATTATGGTTGGGGGGAAAGTACAATCTAACATAAAGATTAACACGCGCGTGTTAAAAGATTGATGACTCTATATTTTTTATATAATGTAAAGATGGCTGGCGGGAATAATGGCTGGCCCTCCACAAAGAAGAAAGAGTGTTTTCACTAGCTCGATTTTTATAAAATACAGTATAATACGGATAGGTCGAACACAGAAGACTGAAAATCACACATCCGTCAATCTGTGCCTGCAGTCCCTTTTTTTTCTTCTTTATCTTTTTAAGATATCCCTTGAACGACCGAGGCCGGTCCCGGCGAATTCGGGCTATCTGTGTTATACTGTATATTATTTTGAACAGTGCTTTGCACAGTCACCAAGAAGTTCATTGTTAGAGAAATCCATGTCCAGTATTTTCATATCAACCTTATATTTCTATTAGTGAGTGCATTATGAGGGTAAAAACACTACCAAAGCTAGTGCACATTTTGAACTAGTATTCATTTCATCCAAACTTTATTTTTAGTGGATTCCATGATGTTCCTTTAATATCAGCAAACTTGATCTTGAAAAAGAGAGAAAAGAGCAGGGAGTGGAGTTGTCTTGTTTCCATTTTTTTTAGGAAACCTTTAATGAGTACCACTCCGCTCCTAGCAAAATGATGCTTTGTATTTATTTTATTGTCTCATTTAACTGACATCCTCAACATGAAAGTTTCATCAAAGGTACTTGCATACCGGATTTTTTTTCGCACATGACTTTAATAACTTCATGATTTCTGAAGATATTTTAAAGTTCAAGTTGTTCACAAAATGTTAAAAGTAAAAGGGGTGCTACTGCATTGGAACATATGACACTGGGCGACTCAAATCACAAATTTAATCAAAATGTTCTCGAAAAACGAAATCAGCTAAACAAAGATAAAATACTGTGTTTTTAAAAAATAGGTTTACAGTAGGTTTCAAATCATTGTGGAGACTCTCCTTCCCTGTAAAGTTATTTGAAATACGGTAGTTTTATGGCTGCTTGTCCTGTCGTCTCAGAGTCGGAGACATGTCGATTTACAAGTCCTGCCTCTGAATAATCTTAAGTTTATAGTAAGGAGTGTAAAGCTCTACAAACAAAAAGCTGTTCAGAACAAATACATGTACTGTGGAGTCCACTTAAACAAAACATGTTTAATCTGAAAACAGCAGTAAACCAAAAGAAAATAAAGCTTTCCATTTTATTTTTTTATTTTTGAGTAATCATTCGAAAGTGAAGACCTGGCTTAACCAAAGAAAATTTAGCGGTCCAGCAGATGTCAATTTATGCAGATTCCACTGTACTTGAACTTTGCAGCTCTTTACTGTAAATATATAAATAGAATATTCAGTTCAGGTTTGATTTGAGTCCTGTGGGCTTTGATTATTGTATTTTCATTGTATATATACAGTGGAGTCCACTTATAACGAGTCCTGAAACAACGAGAAGTCTGCTATAAAGACACTATTCTAAAACACTGGGGTTTTTTCCCTTCTTTATCTTTGTAAATAAAATACTGCTATTGCGCAATCAGACAGTCACGCGAGTCGGTTATAGCGGATTAATGCTGCTGCTGTGCACAGCACACAGACCAATTAAACATATATAAAACCTCGCCAGTTGAGAAAGTTGTTGGTGATCCAGCGAAACAAAGAACGGGAGAGCCCACGCGAACCAACAATGAAGGCCGGAGCGAATGAGTGGGGAGGGTGTGGCATTCGCAGACAAGCAGAACGCTTCGCGTGATAGGCCAGCCCAGTCTAGATTATCTACGCCTACCGTGCCTCTCACTTCTCTGGTGCGGGATGGAGAGGTCACAATGCTGTGATAGATGGAGTGAATGTGTGACGTGCGCAAGCAGACTCAACGCACCACAGGGTGTGGTGGGGTGGGGAACAACACAGCGGGCAAGTTAACCTAGAGCCAGAGCCCCTTCTTTCTGATCGCCAAAGCCGATTTGTCAACATTGCTAGTTCTAGAGAAAGAAACCTGATTCGATTTTTGATCAAGTAAGACCTAGAGATCATGTTGAACAAAATCATCATCAGGGGAAATACAAAAAGGAATAAACAGAACACCAAAATCATAGATTAGGCCTTCTTTACTATTCCCCTTGAATTTATTACTGGATCCCTAATAACGAGAATCCTGCTATAACGGACATTTCGCACCGGTCCCCTCCCTCTAGTTATAACTATAACAGGATTCCACTGTATGATAAAGTATCATAAAGTGATAATGACACAAAAGCAGTACATTGTAATTGTAGCCTACAGGTGTCTGTGGTGTAGCGGTTAGACGCTTTAAATTAGACATCTCTAGTGGGGAAAAAAAATTTATTATGTATCTCGGTCTTTCTACTGGGCCCTGACGGGCAAGGTCAGATGCCTGCCTTCCAAATGATGTAAATTGTGTTTATGGGGGCACAAAAAGCACCTAGATCTACATCTAAAAAAAAAAATGAAAACAGCACTGTGAAAGTGTAATGTTCTGTGCAAACATTGGAACCATCATAACTTCAAGAATTTCTCTCCGACACTTTCTTGAAGTTTACCTAATTTGAAACTGAAGGTAATTTGGTTAATGCATCGACAGCATTGTTTTGGCACCGTATGTGTTCCAAATTCATTTGAATCCTAAATTGTCATTTAGTATTTAATTGTAAAACAGAGAACTACACCAACACTGAAGAAACGGGTCACCGTCACCGAGTGGATGACACAGGCAGTGCAAACCATTGAAGAGTGTTGTCTCACTGTGGAGGGGATCAGACGAAGGGAGACATAGGTACCGCTTGCGGACGAGGTAAACGACAGATTCACTCAGATGATTGCTACATTGGGGCGTGAATGGCCTGAAGGAGCAACACATGCTGAGATCCAGACGCTAATTGAAGAGAACTCCAGAGAGGATGAAACCATCATCTTCACTGATGGCTCTGTTCAGCGTGGGATCAAATCAGGCTGGGCTTACACGGCTTTTTGCCAAGGAGTAACAATCAAGGAGGCATCTGGGACAACGGGCCTCACTTCATCAAGCATGTGCATGGAGATCAAGGCCATCACTGAGGCTCTGAAATGGCTTCGCACTAATGGAAACCAGCGGGCTACCTCTGTTACAGACTCAGTGAGTACCCTGGATAAGATCCTGACCGGCAGCCTCTATGCAAATTGATTTAATTAAGACAATCCAAGACAGCGAAATCAGACACTTGCAGTGGATCTTCTGCCCGGGACACGCAGGAGTCTAGGGAAAGAGCAGATAGGCTAGGAGGCTCGACAATCATAGGAGTGCTTACCCTTGATCCTCCAACAGTAATAGCCCTTGTCCGAGATCACCTTGCCAGAAGCCGTGAAGAGAACTCCTTCACGAAGGAGATTGTGATTGAGAAAGGAGTACAGCCTGGTGAAGGCAGGAGGATTAGCCTGCATGACCCCATCAGTCGTGCAACAACCAGCTGATGATGGAGACAATCAGCCAGCCCACACTGAAATTGACCCTTATGAAGAGGGGCGAGGAAGCATGGAGCACCCCGTCTTCCTAAGACCCAGTTCTACATTCAAGTATACAGAGAACTACACAATACATTCATTCATCCTAAGAGTGCAATTTTTCACTGATTTTTTATATTTTAGGCTCATGACTTTGATTGTTTCAGGCTTTGATTATCGGTGGTATTGTACTTTTAAATACCTGTACGAGCTCGTAGATCTAGTGTGTAAAACATAATTGTTTTTCAAATGATTAAGAGGTCTTGGAGATTTTTCATTCAAAGAGAATTTTATTGACTCACTAGAAGCAAGGTACAAAAGATGTTTATTTTATAAAAATACAATGTAATGTCATGGATTTCAATCATTGTATGTCTTCATGTGCAATGAATAAAGTTGTGTGACATTTTAATCAAACTGGTCATTGAAGGATGCTGATGTGACAAATGAAGACCTTACAGTACAGCTGCTGTCCCTATACTTATTACTATGCCCCCTTCATAGCCACATGGTCCATGACATTGTACCTGTATCAGAAGTTATTCATTCCATATATAGTCATGCCTGCAGTCAAAATACGTTATTTCCACACACAGTGGTCCATATAATATATTTTTTAAAAATTATTTATATAAAATATAGGCCTATATAATTATTATAATGTATCTTTCAATCATCAGAAGTCAGACTCAGACATTGATTCTGCATGTTGATTTAAAAATTACGGATTCCTGTCACTTGCTCAATCCATGGGATGTAATCCGTGACTTTAGTAAACACAGCAGGAAAACTCTCTGGTCGTTGGCGACTTGTGAAGGACACGATGCCAGCCAGCACGTAGTCGTTGCCCCTCCTGCACACCAGTGGGCTGCCGCTGTCTCCCTGGGGGGGGGGGGGAGATTCCAAGAATCAGTACACAACCGTACCTATTTTATGTTTTAGTAAGAGATTTACTGCTCTTTCAACACAATTAGGTCATACAAGTGCCGAAGATTAGAATAACAAACACTAAAAAGAAGAAGGACATAAGAATGATGGAGAAGAGTCACGGAAATGGATTGGATGTACAGAAAAGTGGGAAGACGTGGAGTGACATCAAGTTCAAGCGGTTAGCCCAGGATAGGGAAAGGTGGAAAGTGTTTGTTCTTGGCCTGTATCCTGATCCAGGGTGAGAAAGGCAATGATGATGATATATAAAGATGACAGATGTTTTGAGTTTGAGTTTGATAGGAAAGGAGGAGCAAACCACACTAGAACACCCGCCAGCCACCCACAAGTGTACTTGTAATTTAGAAGAAAAAAAATCACCACACAGTAAGCGTAATTTTACTACATGTAGTACTCGTGTGTTTTTGTGGGGGTATGTTTTGTTGTTCTTTATAGAAGAGGGTGCTGCAATTTTCCTTGAAATTTCTCGGGGGGGGGGGGGGGGGGGGGGTCTGAAACTGGTTGGTGCCGCCAATGTTTTTGTTTCACTGTCTTTGCTCTATAACTTGAAGATTTGTTCTGTTATGTGCATCTGAGACCTGGGGAACCACCACACAGATTGCAAGCAAGATGAATGAGTGATGGGCTAAAGGCAGTCGCCTTAGAAGTAAGTACATATAGTAAGCCTACTGGGCATTTGGTGGGAGAAGGGGGTAACAACAGTTACATGTACAACCAAGGGAATCACAGGCTGCACTGGCATAAACTCCCTAGTTGGAAGAAGTGGACTGAAGATGCTGGATTCTCCGCATGAACAAATCTTGGCATCCCCCCAGTAGCTATAGTATGACTTTGGTCTAAGTAGATCCCACAAGGAAAGAAAGCGGGTAGTGGAGTGATGAAGTATAATAATAATAGTGAACTGGAAAAATAACTGGGGGTGAGGGGTGAAGAGACCCGTTTTACATTATTATACAGTCGACTTCGGATGAGTTGATGTCGTTGGAACAGGGAAAAAAAGATCAACTCGTCCGCAGTTCAACTTAACCGTTGGGACCTGTAAAGAAGAAGAGGTGCTGGGACCTAAGAAAAAGATCGACTTATCTAATAACCGAAGATCAACTCAAACAAGTTCAGCACAAGTGTAGTCGACTGTACTGTATAATGTCAAGTGGCTAACGTACGGTAACTTAATTTGAACAAACACAAGACGAGAATCTCGCACCCTGCAGACTCCGATGTTCATGTTGCGATGTCCCGCACACAGACGGCGCTCCATGGTGATCAGGTTGTAGCTGTTGAGGCAGTTTGAGGCCGGGTAGATGGGCATTTCCACTTGGTGCGCTCTCGTGGACGGGCCGCCGCCTACATGTTACAGTGAGTACATGTAGTTTTACAAGAACTGTTACATATCAGACATTGACAAAGAATATTATAGTATTAATAGTCAGAGTTTTACGACACTTGAAACACAATAAGGTCATACAAGTGCCAATCAATACAGTCATAAAGGAACCGAAGATTAGAAGTTTTACTCGAGAGTACCGGTAATAAACACAAAAAGGAGGAGAGATAAGGACGATAGATACATTGACAAGAATAGTTGCCCGACGTGTTCCAATGCGTTAAGGGCAGAAAGAAGCTTTTCAATACACTTGTAGGGGCAATAATGGGGAATCCCTCCTGCTGAGAGTGGGGGAAACACTTTCTAAGCCTATTCCTCCGTGGAGAACCAGTTTTGTCATCCACGTTTTTCCCCCAACAGAAATGTTCCTACAACTCCACTCCTATTAACATTTTCGCATAAAATAAACACTAAACTGAGCAATAATGAATGATGCTAGTTGTATAAGCATACAGTTTGATCATAAATGAGATGAAACTGCTGAGGTTTTTGCTATCATAACTGCAAACAGCCGAGCGATGCCGTGAGCCAGCTAAACGGGTGCGCCATAATTACAATATAATATACTAAGTGTTTAAAATAGGCCGAAGGAATGACTGACCTCTCGCTGTGCAGCCCCATCCTTTGGTAACACACACCTCGCCAGGCATCGGAAAGCTGTTGTCATTTGCGTCCGGCAAAGTCACGTTCTGGATGAGCGAGAAGCGACGAGGGTTGGGCACAGGCCGAGACAGGCGCACCAGAGCGATGTCATCGGAGAACAGACCTGGTGGGGTGGGGTTGGGGGTGTGTAAAATGGCATATGTTTAACGCCCTTATCAACACTATTAGGGTTTTTAAGAGACGGACCTACAAATTTAAAGCCTTTCACCCGTAGGACCGGGCCAAATGGATTGAGAGCCTTGAAAACTCCATCACACAATCCGGATTTTAAGAACACCCAGTCTGGGATTCGAACCAGGGTCAACAGCTTTGTAGTCCGGCATGTTACCAACACAGCCTGCGGAGCGTCCCTGATTGGGTGGTCAGTGACATAAAGATATAATAGTATGGATGATGTCACAAAGGACGCCCTTTTGGTACTTTTGCTCTGGGTTCTTACGTCATTTGTGCCGACCGATTGAATGTCTCAGGCTGGGACTAGGACATGAGGCCACCTTAACAGTAACAGAGACTTTGCCAGGGAACACTGGCCGACACACACACACACACACACACACACACACACACACACACACACACACACACACACACACACACACACACACATATATATATATATATATATATATATATATATATATATATATATATATATATATATATATCCAGCTTTAAGTGTAAGCAAATTCTTTAGACTCAATCAAGCCTCCCCTGAAGCCCATGGACCGGCGTCTGTGGTGTAGTGGTCAGGCGCTCTGCTGTTGAACACATGAGATCCGATTTCGATTCCCTAGTGGGGAGAATTATCTTTATCGAGTACCCCGGTCTTTCTGCTGGGATATGGTATCCCTTTCGGCCTGGGTTGGCCATGATAGATAGGTCGGAAGCCCGCCTCCTGTCGAATTATCTAAACTGTGTCGATAGGGGCGTAAAGCACCTGTTTTAAATTTTTCTCCACCCTGTGCCTATAATAAGTTTACTGCCTCCTCTTCTTCTTCCTCCTCCTCCTCCTCCTCCTCCTCCTCCTCCTCCTCCTCCTCCTCCTCCTCCTCCTCCTCCTCCTCCTCCTCCTCCCCTCCCCTTTTCTTTTACCTCAATTCTTCTTCTTCTTCTTCTTCTTCTTCTTCTTCTTCTTCTTCTTCTTCTTCTTCTTCTTCTTCTTCTTCTTCTTCTTCTTCTTCTTCTTCTTCTTCTTCTTCTTCACCCACAATGCGACTACTTTGTTTGAGGGTTAGCCTGTGAGGCCTGTTTTCCAAAAAAAATAATACACGTGTATAGTATTCCTAATTCTGGAATAGCTTTACATGTATCTATCTTTAACGCCCTACGATTATGCATTAGTCAGACATGGGCCAAACTCAAACTGACTAACCATGGAATTTCGTTCACTGAACGATGACCTTTCACCACATCATCAATTGCACGGTGTGAACCAAATCGCGTCGACAAAAGAAATATTTGTGATACGAAATGGAAAAATTAAGACATGACATTACAAAGCTTTTTATTTTCGGTTTACACCCTTTTATTTAAAAAAAAACTGTTTTGGGCGTAGCTGTAGTATATTTAACGTAAAAGATTTGATTTACTAAAAAAATATTTAAAAATTTTAAATTTAAAAACTTCTTCACTTAGTTGCAAGTCTTGATTTGAACGTCTGCTCAAGCTGATGGCCTTGACAGAGATACATTGTTATTCCGCGTTCAAATGCCACTTTTAAAGAAAGAGGGGCAAAACAAAACTTATGTTTTTTTACTCACTATCTTTGCCTAAAGCAGGTTCATTGATGCATTTACGTACGCACATAACCTAGGCGAACAATCACCCGGTTTGTTGTTCAGTGGGGTATGGTGAATGTTTATTTTCTATGACAGGTCACACTGCTTATTTCATATGCTAATATAATACTTATGTGGCAAAAGGCCAAAAGAGAAAACGTTGATTTATATAACCATTTATTTATTTATATATGGATGCCACTTACTTGAAGCATTGTAGCCAGGGTGGACAACGATGCGATCCAGTGAAATCTCCCACTGACGTAATTCGTTTTGGTCAAACACCCGCCCAACGACGTCCAATACTCGCTCACGGATACTAGGCTGAGATTATAATGAAGAAGATGCATGAGAACGATGGGATGCGAAATAATAAGAGCGGGTGGGACGAAGCGAAAAGATGCGTGTACGTGCGGGAGAGACAGAGAGAGAGGGGGGGGGGGGGATTGACAAACGTGTGGACAGATAGACAATCAGACAAACAGAAAGACAATGGCATAATAAAGATGGAAGGGAGAGGGATACATGGAGAGAAGACATGAAAACACTCTTTTATTTAAGAACAAAGTATTCTTGTAGCAGGTCTTGATGTGTAAGAATAAAGGGTAAGATGAGTAGATAATGTTGGCGAAATGCTGAATCATAATCGTTGCATTACAATCTAAAAACGACAATACTAAACTGTGTGTTGTTAATTGCTCATGGAAACCCAATCCGAAGAGCTACCATTAAACTGACAGCAACAAAAATGGTTGTATCAGAGAATTTGCCATCTCATTTTGTTCACTACGTAACGACCGCGTTTGCTGTTAGTTGTTTCGAAAACTGTCTTACTTAACCCAGTTAACGTGATGAGTAACAATGCAGATAACATGGTTCGAATCCCTAAAGAGTTTTTGGCTTTGGATTGTTGTCTTACTTGTGTTGTTTACTCTCTTTTGTTTTTGTTGGGTGGAGGGTGTCTCTGCTTTAAGAGGGGGGGGGGGGCATTTTCTACTCACTGAGCTCATTCATATCGGAGAAGAACGTTAGTGGGTGGCTGGCAGGTGCTCTTGTGTGGTTTGCTCCTTCCTTCCTATCAAACACCAAGTCTCCCTTATCTCTCCTTCTTTTTCGTGTTTGTTAATCTCTTGTAACGCCTAATTGCGTTACAATTAGTGTCGTAAAACTCTTACTAAAAAAAGGAGAACATCAGATTTGACGTCATGTCTCTTAAATAACCTAACAATGCTGAAAGGGCTTTAAACCCTCATCCAACCGACGTTAGTTATAATTCATTGACCTTGTTCAAACTGCATAAAGGAACTCGAACTCAAACTCGTGCGATGGACACTTTTTTCTGGTACTATTAAATGCAAGAATAATCAGTTGCGTTTTGTTATAACGCAATACGGTACGATAGCAACCACTTTTCATTTCATCCGAAACAGATAAGGAAAGGAGCAGGTTTCCAATACTCCATCCATGGAACACTTGTGGATGTCAAAATCTCAATGAACTCTGTGTGAATGTCAGGGGTCTCTGCGAACTCCTAACTTTTAGAGACACAGTCTGAGCCCGAGTCATACCACTATGATACGCATTACAATAAAAGATCAAATTCATAATCTAATATTGTTATGATAATAACAGATGAACAAATTAATCTAATCAGAAACTTTAAGATCAGATTACGAACTGTGGACCTATACACACATCTGACATCGATCCCCTATCACATTATATGGTTGGACCAGGACTCAGAGAGTTAAGATCACACTTTATTTCAACAAAAAGTACTCTAGTTTTGACTTTCAGAAACGTCTCGCTGAGCCAGCGGGATGGAGAAAACGGTGGGGTTAAGGCAGACGTGTCCAATTATTATTTTTAAGGGCCTGTTGGAAGTTTAAATGGTGTCAGGAATACTATAAATCCTTTTCAGTTACTCTTTCGTATTACGTTACTTTTTAAGAAGTTTTAGCTCAAAAGGCACCATGCAAAAGCTTCCACTTTATCCTTATTGGTAATAATACATTATTATTATTATTATTATTATTATTATTATTATTATTATTATTATTATTATTATTATTATTATTATTATATTATTATTATTATTATTATTATTATTATTATTATTATTATTATTAATATTATTATTATTATTATTATTATTATTATTATTATTATTATTATTATTATTATTATTATATGGTGTAACAAGGGTAGCTCGAATTTGTCGGGACCGGTCGTGGTAGTTCGAGGGATATCTTACAAAGATAAAGAAGAAGAAAATGGGGGCCCAAGCATAGTTCGACAAATGCATGATTTCGAGTCTTCTGTGTTCGACATATCCGTGTTACACTGTAATATTTTAAATTATTATTATTATTATTATTATTATTATTATTATTATTATTATTATTATTATTATTATTATTATTATTATTATTATCATTATTATGCCTGACGATGACCAATGCATCTGTAGAGAAGATTACTTCTAAGTAAAATAGAAGAAAAAGGATTAAAATGATTTTGTGGCTTCTGCTATGGCCAATGAGACCAATTCTGGCAGAGATGAGTTTGCTACATTCTGAACCTTTAAAAACTTCATTTCCACTTGTGGGTGTGCGCAGCTCGCGGGCTTCTCTGGCTTTAGCATTTATTGTAATTCGTAAAGCCTCATAATTATGAGTTGCTGCCTTCTGTGATTGTTGCTCTCCAGCTGGGTTTGTCAAGAGCTCCCCCGTGTCTAAGGATTAAATAATGTTGAAATTTTTCGAGAACATCATGCAGTGTCTTTATCGTGATTTTTTTTCGGTGCGCCAGCTTTAGGGCTACCCTGGGGACATGTTGTGTAGGTTTTCACTATTCAACGATCAAACGCCGCTGGTGGTTGGAGAAGGGGGAGAGAGAGAGAGAGAGAGAGAGAGAGAGAGAGGGGGGGGGGGGGGGGGGGGGGGGGGAGGCGCCACTGATAATACATATGTAATGTCTTACTTGTTTCCCTTTCCTTTGTTGTTAATGTCGGTCGGTCTATGTTGCTTTTTCCTGTGCACTAAAATGCCGTTATTTCTGGCGATATGCATCTCTTTACTCAAAACTAAACTAAAAATTATCACTAAACGACAGCTTTTCTATACCCTATACGAGTAAATACGTTTACTCACTATTCAATTATCAAGAATTTAAATGAAAAACAAAGAACCCGTAAGTTCATTGTCTGACTCATCCATGGGTGGTTGGTGGGTGCTTTAGTATGGTGGGATCCTTCTTTGATATTATCAAACATCTATTATCCTTCTGTCTCTCTCTTTTATTTTCTTTGTAAGTTACTCACTAATTACGCCTCTAATCTTCGGCACCTATACTTTATTAACTATTTGTGTTGCAAGTACCGTAAAACTCTTACGACACTAAAACTCACCCGCAGCCTCACGGAAGCCAGTCTGGCCTCCCAGTTCCAAGGGCGCCTGGCTGGTTCCCTGAAACGAAGCCATGAAAATATTTCCATGTTCTTAGACAGAAGTATTGGCTTCAATCTCCTCCTCCTCCTCCTCCTCCTCCTCCTCCTCCTCCTCCTCCTCCTCCTCCTCCTCCTCCTCCTCCTCCTCCTCCTCTTCTGCCTCGTCTTTCACCATCTCCTCCTTCTCCCCTGTACCTCCTTCATGCCCTCTCATTCCTGTTACTTCCTCCTTTAAAAAATACAGTATAGCTACTTTTCCACCTCATATTACTTCTCGT